TATCCGCCCAAAGGAAATATAAATGATATTCTGGAAATCTTGACAAAATTTCCAGTAATTTGACACTTTAATCATTAAAATTTATCCAAAATTAAGGCGAGGGCGAGGTAACAAAATGTCGAGTTTTGGTGTTTTTTTATTGGAAATATAAAAAAAAGACCTTAAATCATCCCATTTTTAAACGCTCACCCTCGCTTTAATTTTTGAAAAAATTTCATGATTAAAGTGTCAAATTACTGGAAATTTTGTCAAGATTTCCAGAATATCAGTTATATTTCCTTTGGGCGGATAGGATTCGCCCCATTTCGCATACTAATTTACATGTATTTCTTATGGAAGGAGTATTTTAATAAGATATCAATTAAATAAGTTATAACTCGTAATCTGTTGAACCAAAATAAACACATTATATACTTTTCTTGTAGAAAATTTAATCTTCTTCAATTTTATAATTTACTATAGTATACAAAAGTTGATAGTTTTCGAGATATAATCAAAAAACCTAAAATGCGTACCTTTTCCCCCCCTTTTTCCCCCCTCCACCCCCTGGCTCACCACCTAGGAGTCAGGACTTTTGATATGTAACACCCTAAGCCCCCTGAACAAGTTTCTGAAGGAAACGCTTAGTTACCTGCTCACGCACTCTACACCTACTTTTGGATCATTCATTGACTGGACTATAAGCAAAAGTTGTATTTTTGTTTCAGTTTGAACAGTAAAACAGTAAAAATGTTTCCTGTTTTCTGGCATTCAAAACACTAAAACAAACAAAAAAATATCCAAACCTATATAGTGTAGCATATGGTTGGAAAGCTTATAAAATGGCGCAGTTTTTAACAATTCCGACACTTTCGTGTATACAGGGTGTGAAAAAAATCTAAAATTGAAAAAATCTATAGGTTTCTTATTTTACTTTTAAATAATCCTACTTTATAAAACGAAGTTAACTGCTATTCAATTTTTAAAAGGAAAATAAGTACATATACTTGCCAGCCAGACAGGGTTCAACAAATCTAAAAATAACGGCCAAGAAATTCAGTGCGGAAGTAATCGTGAGAAAGGTCTCATCATTGAAGGTTCATCCCTTTACCTACTAGTTTGGTCGGTCATAACCTTTGCCCTTAATACAAGTAGACAAAGTAACACAACAAGTGTCCGGTTTGTAGATGACCCGTTCCGCATTGAGATCTTGTCCTGATCAGGTTTAGATGGATGAAAAGAATAGGGTGGCTTGATTTGGAATAAGTAGCCTTTGGACTATCACTGGCCAAGGTTTTTACAATAATATAAATAAACTAATCTTATTGTAATATTGTTATGCCACGGTGTTCAATGACTAAAACTAGTTTAATGTTTTGTAGGACCATCTAATAGGTTTCAGACAAAATGCATACTTCGAAAATGAATGGATTTTCATACGAATTGCAGTATGTTCAACATACAATTTTTGCAATACAAATTTAGTTTTACGAACTAAATATTTTCATAATGTAAATCTTGTTATGAGTAAACGGCAAGATTTTCACAACTTATTTATTTTTAATATAATGAACAATCCTTATCATAGATATTATTCTACAGTCAATGGTGAAGACCAAGTAACTAGTGCATTTTATAAAACCCATGCTTGGATGGACGTAGCGAAATAATATATTGAAGATAGAAAAAACGTGATAAATAATGTGCCGTACAACTGCAACGTACAAATTAAAGGTGTTCGAGTCTTAAAACTTAATAAGTAGTTAAATATCAGAAAGATTTATTGTAAGGTCCAAAATTTCAAAAAGGACAAGTTCTTGAAGAGAAGCGAAGATAAGGACTACTCAAACTATTTAATAAAAAAGTCGACAAATCATAACTAGTCTTGGAACATATCAATATAAGGAAAGATTAATCTATATGATATATTATAACCACACAAATATTTAGTAGTACTTTAAATAGTGGTTTCATGTTTATTGATTTTATTTTTTTTCGCGTTTATAAATAAATGAGTTAATGATTTATACCATGGGTGCTGAATATGGATGGTATAAATATATTATTTCTTAGTTAATAAACTGTAAAGTAAAAAAAATAATATAGCTTATTCCTTATACAGTTAGCAAATACAGGCTAATTTAATCCGCAATTATAAACCTACCATACTGTGACAGCAATGGATCTTTAAAGGTAAGCTGTTTTAACAAATTATAAAATACTTGATCAGTGACATGTTTTGGTACTATCCTAGTTCATTACGTTAGTTTACCAACTTTATCCATCAACATTATAGTTTTAAATCTTCACGAGGTAGCCTATTTTAAAAGTACTGTGTTAGGTATTACGTTAAAGTACAATTTTTCATACTATTCATGAAAACATACGAGTTTTAGTAGATAAAATAACACATATAAAAATATTATGAAAAATGTCATGTAAAAGAAATATTTATACATAAATATAGTAAAATGAAAATTTTTCAGGCAAAGTTATTGCTACCTGACTCTTTCTTACACTTAACCTGGATATTTTGTTCTGTTTACCGAACCCTTTTATTGTAAAGGGATGGTCCACCCTGTTATAGCCTACTATTGAACATAGATCATTAGTAACCTAATTATACTGCAATTATGAAACTGTGACCCGTAAGTAAAGGTTTTAGGCCTCTCAGGTTTACTCGCATGAAATACTTCTTAAACAATTTGTTTTCAAAAACGTGTTTACAATTTGTTCTACCCCCTACAGCAACACACGTATCATCAAACATTCCCACCCCGACACGTCTAGAGGCATGACACAGTGTACCATTCCCAGGACGTCCCAACGGCGGTCCTCGGTCCAGTGACGGGTGACGGGTATGATGTGTGATTGATGGATGCCGGGGGTGCCCGAGGTGCCCGAGGGGTCGGCGAGAGACCGGTCAAGCAGGAAGTGTTGAGGAAGGGTGGTAAGGACGAAGGATCACTCGAGGTTTAGGCCTTTAACCCGACGGACGTAACCTGCTCTGGCTACTGCACGGCACGCCTCGCACGGCAGGTGAGTCTGCTATGTGACTAGATTACTTGTGTTTTAAATTTTAAATATTTTATTTTAGTGGTACAATAATTTTACTGGTATTATTTATTGTCAGTAAATCCTTTTTGGTAAATATTTAATTAATATTTTATCGAAAAACATTTAATTTTTAAGTATTGCTTCATCAGACTTTTTATTTTTCGTCGTGTATGTTTATTATTTATTTTAGTTTTTACCACACAACCTATAAGAACTTTTTATAGTAAATTAATTTCATTAAGTTGTAAATTATTGTATTCTGTTGCATTAAACACCATGAGGTGACATTAGTTTTTTTGGCTGTCACCAAAATTTTATATTTAAAATAGTAATTCGGTACTAAACAATTTTAAGAGTTATGTTAATTTATTGTAAATATTTTCAAGACAGTTGATTGAATCTTTATAAGGAACTAGTAATATTGGTTAAAATATTTTTCAAATAAACACTTCACCAATATTTTTGTAATGTTTATTTCATGGGGCCTTTTGTCAGATATTAATACTCTTCTACTTATAATACTCTTAAAACCATAATAGCAATGATATTTTTTTAAACCCCGATATAAATCAATACATTATTTCAACGATTTATTTAGTCGCTACATATTTTGCTATTTTCACATCAATAGGGCCTATGATTTTCTCCAAACTTATGATAATATTGACCACTTCCGGTTTCGGAAAAACGCAAGGGAAAGTGGTGTCATGCTTGGAAGCCGTGACTGCTTTTCTTGCCAAAATGCGTCTGTTATACCTGACTGCTAGCCCTACTGTAGGTGGCTTGTATTGATACAGTGTTACCAAAGGATGAAACATACCTCTTAGATACGTCATCCTTAATTTTATTGTAGTTCTGTCAGGTGCCGCTAGGATCGTGTTTTTTATTAGTTTCTTGTTGTTTCAGTTACCTCGTTTAACCAAAACTATCTAATCATAAACATTAACTCGTCCCCTAGTCGTAATCTAAAAGTAAAAGCACAAATCATGAAATTAACCTCAAAATAATAGGAAGAGAATTTTGTCGACTCTAGCTCCCAGTGTCATTAACATGAACTATACATGAAAAACAAGCTTCAGACTATACAATGGGATGAGAAGTCTACTTGTGTTGGTTAGTCCGTGATAATATGTTTGGGTCGACTGTGCTTGGAACCGATTAGACGTCTACTAAGATACTGTATGAGTTACATTAATCAGATTTACCTACTAGTATACCTGTATTACATTATAGGGTAAAAAGTATAGTTTAAAATTTGTTTAGCAACAGCTCGGTTGTGTATTGGGTGTTTTGTATAAAGTGTTATCAATTATGTGTTTCAACTATATATTTTATTGGAGGAAATATATTCTTTATCCTATCAGGTTATTACAAGAATATAGAGTAGGTTATTTATGATTTCCTTAAGGCGAATTTGTTTTTAAATCACCTTTCACACACTGTTTTAACTTGACTAGTTTCTGATGATTAAATCGTGGCTATAAAATAATATTGATCAGTTTCGTTCGAATTTTAAATCTGTCTTCCACATAGCAGATTTTAAATAACTAACATAGGGATGTTATAGTTATAGTATACTTTTAACTACAACCCTTAATTAGAAGGGCATGAGTTTTAAAACGTTCAATTGATAGATATAGTAATCTGTTACAACATAGAAAAACTGTAAAATAGCAAGAAAATGCATTACATTCTCTTACACAAGAATATCCGTGAATTGATCTTTGCAAGATGCTTTAACTGCGATGTTAGGTGTTAACTCTTGTAGGTAGAAACATTTGTATAGTAAATGAAATTAAATAACACTATGTAATTTGTTTTAAATGTACTAATACAAAAGTTTACTTTATTGAAATTATTTCATTCTTTTTAGAGCGTTTAAAGTCGGCTGTATTTTTTCACAAAAATTAAATTATACCCACATCCTTTACCTTAAGATGTTGGGGTAACAGAAACAAAAAACAATTCGTCGTAGCTTTTATTTCGGTTAACATTGACAGTCATTCTCCATAAAACATTTTACCATTTCATCATACGTAATCCAGCTGATAATAACCCACAATAGAAACAGTATAAACCAACATGGATATACAACAAGGCTACAATAGGCAAAACTATTTCTATGTACAGTTGATATGTATGTTCTGGTTTAGTATAGTATATTGTTGGATTTATAATATTTTCTCCTATGGAGTTATTATAACTCGACCAAGTAGAGTTAGCCCTTAAACTAAGAAACCATTCCGGTTTAATTTACTTTCACACGTTATATTTTTTTGTTAAATATTTTTCTCTTTTTTTTTGTATATTCGTCAATAAATATACATATTTTCATAAAAATAAACATCCCTATGTCCTATATACATAAACTTATATCAACATAAAGTCGAATACTTTTAAAAATAAATTTACGACAATTTAAATATTTCATATTCTAATTTATAACAGAAATTATCCGTCAAAAAACCATTTTTAGACATTGAACTAAACGTTAATGAAATAACTACAACCCTAATCGTAGCATAAATCAATCAAAAAAGCGAAATTATGAAACACTACAGTTAAGCATGCAAATTCAAATTTAAAAAAACTACCGAAAAACATAATTTGACTAGAACGTAAAACGTAAGAGCACCAAGTGAACATTTTAAACAAAAAGTGCCTAATGGTATGAATCAAACTCGCCTATGTGAATCCGTTTACGCCGGTGTTTAAAAAAGCGTCTATACTACTTTGGCAACAAGAGAAATCACAGTGTCATCAGAAAATATTCGTAAAATATAGTTTGTTACAAAAAAAATCACGATTAAAATATCGATTAACAAAAATATAACAAAAGTACTTAGGTAAACAAATAATTAATAGTATAATGTTTTTATTCGATCCCCTCCACCCGTATCCTCGACTCGCTTCCAGCTTCCCTCTGTTCGGGATCTTCAGGTCTTCGCCCCTCTGGCCAAGAAGCTTATTCGTCGGTCTCGTTGAGTCGCAGGCGGGCGAAGTCCTCGAACACGATGTTGTCGTCGTCATCATCAGCGTAATGAGAGTTCTCATAGCGGGATCTCTCGATGCTCTTTGTCTTCTTCAGAGCCTTGGACTTCTCCATCTCTTGAGAGCCTGGAACATCACGTAGTATATAAGCGAGATTTATATGGTATTCAATTTATCATTACATTTTTGATTTTTTGCTTTGTCACTTTGGATGAGTTTAATTTTGTAGTATTTGTTGCCAACTTATTTGTACATTATTAAACTATAAACATACAAATTTCACAAAACAATCACAGTAATAAGATGTACATGCTTTTCTTCATAGTACTTAAACTGAATATGATGGTCAATCAGTAGGATTTCATTTCCTTCTATGAAAATCTACTTGTTTGAGATAGTTTTATAAATTCAAAAAAATCTTACAACTCATTCCAGGAATTCTAAAATATTCTTACAACTCATCCCTTTATTAGTTCTTACAACCCCTTACACGATTTTGAAAATTCCTAAAAAAGACATCCTATAAAATCTTAGGAACTTATTATCCTAACATCATTCCATAAAGTCGTATTAATAAACCTTCAGTTCTTTGCTAACTGAGCCATCGAAAAACATTAAAATAAAATCTCATCTCGTAAATTTCAAAAATCGTTTATTTCAATGTTCAAGAACATTACACTAGCAACTCACCAGGAGCCGGATGCATGAGTTTGAAGGGCACGTCAGTCTGCAGCTCGCCTCCCAGAGTTCCACAGTTGAGCTTCACCCTGAGAGAGTACGAGATGACGATACCCATAGCATCAGACGGAGCCTTGCCCTCGGCCACCATGGTGGAGGAGGCGAGGTTCACGTCGTCGTCCTGTCGACAATGAAGAGAACGGTTAGAGAACCTTCAGTGAAGCAAAGAGTTCCAGAATGGTGCATTAGATTTTTCGTGATAGGAATAAGTTATAGAAAACATAATGCTTTGAACAGCAAGCATTATTTTTTGCAGGTCAAGGTTGAAAGGGTTGAACATAGATAGAGGTAATTTCATGCCGCCAGGATGCCTCGAACTTATGTTAAGGAGTGATCATGGTGGAAATTTATGAAGGAAACTTGGAGACAATGAAGTTTATAACATAACAAACACCTGAAACAGGTTGTGAGACAAAGGTTATAGTAGACAAAAACTTCAAAAAATTGACAAACGAATTAAAGCGACAGGAACCATGAAGCGAACAAAATTTTCTAAATAAAAAGACAATAAAAGTCAGAACGAAGGAGATTGAAGGTAAATGTTAGTAAAAAGAGAGAACTAAAACATCCAACACATAAAACATCAACATCTAACATCTAAATAAAAAAAAAATATGTTCTATGCCACCCACAGAAGATTGCCACTTGTAATTTGGTTATCAATTAATCTTTTTATAATTAATATTTTTTTACGCTTGACAGAACCATAGACAAAACTAATGATGTATAGACCGTCAGCCGTACAGCGATTAGCATAGGTTCTGGCGTTTACCACTAAGAGCACTTTGTAGTTACGTAGCGCGTACGCTGTAACTACATGACGGTATATATTTAATTATTTTTGTCTATGGTAGAATTAACGAAATTCTTTTGTGAATAGAGACGCCATTCAAAAATTATTGAGTCATAAAAAAAGATTCCATTTTCACCTTAAGATGTCCATCGAGAGCGATTCCTCGGCGATCCTTGTTGCTGCTGGCGAGTGGCACGAGGTAGAAGACCTTGGTGAAGGAAGCTCCGGGTGTGATGGGACATCCTTCACGTGTCTCCAGGCTGGCGACGTGGCGAGAGAACTGGGCATTGACCATGGTCACCTCGCAGTGCTGCACCACGTAGATCTGTGGAAGAGATGAGGGTTACTAGTAATCAGTGAAAACGTGTTCAGTGAATCAGTGAAAAAGCTGCAAAGCTGTCTCATTTTTCTTATTGACATTGAGTAAGTTGGAAAGTATTTGTGTAGGAATCCCAATTCCTTATTAAACTCCAAAATGCAACTGTGTACCAAAATGTAAAAGAAATCCGACAATTATATTAAATTCTTCTGACCTTGATGTTCTTGACGGTCTTCCTGGAGTTGTTGGTGATGGTGACGTTGCCAGCAACCTTCTCTCCATGGTAGTAGATCTCTCGGTCCAGAGTCACTTCCAGGTTCAGCTTGCCCTGAGAGAAGGTGAAGCCCTTGCTGACGAGGGAGCTAGGGAGACGACGACCACGGGTGGGAGGTGCGTACTGGAGCTGTGGACAAAGTACGTGTTAGAGGATACCTCTGGTAAAATACCATATTTAAATACTGTCATCAAACACACTTATAATTGTTTTCTCAGTGAAAAACAATTTTTTCTCTGAAATGCAGGAGGTAGAGTTCCGATGGTAATCATGTACAATTGTTTAACAATTGAACGTTTTCCCAAAATGATATTGTCAAACATCAAGAAATTTTGATTTTGACAAACATCCAATGTCATCTTGTGATCTTTTTTCAAGTTACTCTACTAATGGTAACGTGAAAAACACTTGTTATCTGAAATACAGGAGGTAGAGTACCGATGGTAATCATGTACAATTATTGTTGAACAATTGAACGTTTTTCCCAATATGATATTGTCAAACATCAAGAAATGTTGATTTTGACTAACACTCAATGTCATCTAGTAATCTTTTTTTTTAAGTTACTCTACTATTAGATATGTATTTGTTGAAGAACGAGACCAAGATAGTAGAATGCCTAGTTTAAGGCAAAGATGAACAAATAACTAATTTCGTAGGCCTATAAGCTTGTTTATTCGCTAGGTATCCTAATTCTTCAAAAGTGTTATGAGTATTTTCGTCGTAACCGAAATGATTTCTGGTAGACGAAATAAATGCATACTAAATCATTCTCTAGAATGTTATTTCCTTGAAAAATAGGGGTAAAAACTATTGTCATTTTATCATCCGAACCCCTCGTGAAAGAATGCTTTTTCAGATGTCTCATCCACCGATTGACCTAATATTGTTAGTTAAATAAGTAACAACTCTGGTATTTGATTCAAACTAATCTACCTATGAAAAAGTATCAATTTTAGACAAAGACATATTTCTGGATTATATTTTCATAGGTAATTTCAACAAAGTAATCCTGGATTTGTAAATGTGAAATTTGTAAGTTGTTCATACATTTACTACATTAGATGCATTTACTACAATGTCGTGAAGAGATTTTTTCCAAAAGGGTGTAAATACAATAATTGAATTTTGAATACTTCAGCGATAAATCATTCAGTCGAGAATCACGATCCAAATCCCACTTTAATTTTGTCTTAACCATAATTTTACTTGACAATGTCAAGTATGTCCTGTACCTTCTTGATGGCCAGAGTGACGGAGGACCTCTTGTGTCCTCGGTCTTCAGCGTTTTCTCCCACGTATGTTTTGACGGTGTACTCCACTCCCAGAGGCTTGCCAGTGTCGTCCTCACCAGGCTGGAGAGTGACAGAGGACGGGGAACACGAGGGGAAGTGGAAGGTAAATGGGAAGGCGTTCTGGCCGAACTTCCTCAGAAGCTTCTCCTGGACGGGGGTCAGCTCCTTCTTCTCCTGGTCTCTTGGTTCAGGAACGATCTGGGTCTTGGAGAGGACGATCTCTTTGCTGAACTTGACTCCCATGACCTCATCCTCCTCCCGACCATATCGGTATGTCGTGGTAACCTATAAACATTCGATGATTGCAGTTTTGAAGGTGAGAGTTGCAGTATTTGGAAAGGATAAATTCATTTGATATATTTGTATAAACCTCTGAAACTTTGAAAGAAAGACATATATAAAAGACAGAGCATTGTGTGCTTGACTTATAAATATCTTTCATTGATTAGCACTATAGTTACAATTTAAAATAGTATCGCAATGGAAAAAGAAAAATATCTCTTCAACGCTTGAACGCAACTTTTATTGTCTAGTGGTTTAATATTTCAAACTTGTAAGGGTATTTTTAGTACAGTATAAAGCTTAGTATGATAAAAAATGCACAAGTGAATAAGGCAATTCGGTTCTTACTTTGACACAAGTACACTAATTTGCAGATGGGCCATTTAAACAAGGTAAAACTGGATTTGTAAATGTGAAGTAAGTTGTTCATGCATTTACTGCACTATCTGTGAAGAGTGTTTTCCCTAAAGGCTGTAAATACAATCATTGACTTTTGAATACTGATTTCTGTCACAGACTATAGAAGTCTGTGCTTCTGTAGTCAAATATGCAAAGTAGCCAATTCACCAGTAAAGCGATGATTCCATTAGTGGGCACGAACTGGACACCATTTCACATTTCAAGAATATGTTTATTGATTCCAGAGCAAATATTAGAAAAGCTTGCTAGTTTTGCTAGTTTAAGAGTCTTTCATTCAGAAAGAAACTCTGTAAGCTAGACTTAGCTAATTTCTAAAACCATCCGAACGCTAGACAGCGAGGTTGTTAAATCAGCCCAATTTTTGCCCCGTGTTTTATAACGAATGTAAGGAAAGATTTTTTCAAATTCGTGCCCACCCATGGCCAGGCCTACCTGTCCATAGATGCGACGGCCCTTGAGATAGTCATTGTCTACCACGACAACTCCGTCAATGGGGTCAACATGGTCCAGGTGGTCGATGAAGTCTCTCTTACCCAAGTAGACGGTGACTTTGCCTGGAGCAGATAACAGTCTGTTAGTTTATGGTTTATGCTTTGAGAGAAACACCATTTAATTTATCAAAAGTAATATTGATGATAACCATTATTACAAAGAACCATTTTTATTTTGTAGGAAAGATTCTACCACCTCTCCTATTTCAGTACTGCTACATAAATATATCTAATATTTTCACAAAGAGTGTTGAAGTCATACTGTTACTACACATTTAATTTAACGCGATGATTAATGTTGTAAATGTTTCATACAAGTTTAATTTTTCACAAAAATGCTCAATGTTAGTTGCTGTATTTTCCGTCGTCAATATTTAACTTCCCAACCAATAAGTTTTAATATCATGCCAATCGCTCACATTAAAATAATATTTATGACGAACATTTTAATTACAATTCTCTGGGGTTTAAAACGTAGGGACAGTTAAAAGAAAATATCGAATCCAAAAAGCCAAGTATATCTAGTTTATCGAATTGAAAGTTTTAACTAACACTTCAAATAAGTTCGTATAGGTAACTTATTTTCTCTAACTTGACTTTGTCCCCTAAAATCTGAAAATCATCGTACTTTTTGAAATCCATAATTTGTTTTCAGCATTCCATTTTCAATTTAGTATTTCATTTTATCAGACTTTATCAAGTGCTAGCTCTGAATTAAGTTTATTTATGTTAAGTGTTGTTTTAGAATGTTTATTTTCGTATGAATCCCTACACAGTCGGTTCGAGTCACGAACGTCTCACCGCTAATCGTGTTAAACTAATAGTGTTAACATTTACACGTCAGGTCTTATCTTACACGGCTTCCCTGTCACCTTTATGTATCGATTAGGTTTAAAACGTCACGTAAGGAGTTTACTGCTTTTACACATTGGAAATTATTTTTACTCGCGTTAATTTTTATAAGGTTTTTTTGGGTGCAGTTAAATTCCAATTTATCTGTATTAACAATTTTCTGGTTAGTCTGACTTAAAAAAGTGTAACATGTTTTTATTATGTTCTAAACCATTTACTGGTTTTACTTACTTACTTCTATTGAGCGGCTATAGCAAATTTAGTCTAGTTTGGGTGGATAAAAGAGCTATCAAATGATGTAATGTAATAATGTGTAATAAACATAATATACTCTAAAATGAATTAAATTATTATAAACTTATTTTATTTTTAAAACTTTCCTAGTTTATGCTCATGTGATTGCAAAAAATCACCAATACTGTAACAAGTTTTTTGAGTGAAGCACAGAGAAGGTGAGTTAAGAAATCCTATGTTACAATAACAAATTCGAATGATATTTTATAAACCACAGAATGTAAATTACAAACGGCATACAAAGACAGGTTGCATTGTGCTTAGCATGTATAAATAATACGGCAGTATTATGTTCAAAACATATAATGATTTTTTTTTACGAATAATGTATCAAATGTATGTCGATGGAATAACCAGTACCTGTGATTACTCCAATTATAAATTGAATTTCAAGTTTGATTTCTGTTTTTTTTTCTATTTAACTTTAAACGTTAAAATTAACAGTATTTTAAGAAAATTTACAATTTTTTATAAATTATTATCAATAATTATCTTAATAAACTTTTATTCTAGTAATAATACCTATAATCTATTTATTTTAGAAGTAGACTGACTAACATAAATCAGACCATCACTTTAGGTTATCCTCGAATTCAATATAAAGTTTCCTATATTTTGTAATCAAATAAGCTCGTCAACATCTGATCAAGTCAAATATTTTTTTTCTATTTCAAAGTTAAATTCAATACAACGATAAGTAATCTTTAATCGTAAAAAATAGTCAAAGGTAAAAGTCTATAGATTTTTTTCGAATATAAATTATCTTTTTATGAAAAATCAAAATCGTACTAATTGTTCAAACCCCCTTTTCTCTTACATGTAAAATATTTAATAAAGGTTTAATTTCATCATGTAAATAAACTGACTATTTAATTATTAAAAATATATTTTAACAACTGTATCTCAAAATGTTCGGTCACTTAAATATATTCAGATTGCATATGATTACTGTGCTCTAATTAACTTGAACATACTATAGTAATAACAATATCTTTACACTATTATACGTATTAAATATGTCTGAAAAAAACGATATAACAAATATAATAGAAATAAAAATAAATTAAATCCACTCACCATTAGGGGTAGTTTTCTTGAATACCTTGACGGCGACCACGTATGCTATAAACAACACTAGGGGGAACATTGTGTCCTAGGGGTGAGTTACAAGCTTGTAGGCCGGGACATGAGCGGAACAGTATATAAACAGCTGTGTGGCTTCCCGCCCCCGCGCTAACTGCATTACTTAGCTGTAATGCGGTTAGCGAAGCCTGCCCTTGCAGGCGCGCATTCACACATGCCTTTCTCAACGGAAAGACGTGTAAGATTGGACTACAAGCCATAGGGTATAAACATATTTATGAATATTTGTAAACAATATGAAAATGAGTTATTCAACGTGAGTCTTAAAGGTGGTATAAACTTTGTCCTAGTTTGATTCGTTCTGACTTTACTATAATTTTTGTTACTTAAAAATATTTTGACATATATAATGATGTGATGACAAAAATTGATGACAAAAATATAATGACACTTGTGGATACTAAAAATATCTTTTGGCAGTTTAAAGGGGTGATTAAGGAAATTTTCGCTACCAGTGTGGTATTCTTAACTGTTGATACAAAATATAGTATATTTTTTATTTTTCTCTATTTTTCTACTGGGATGCTACAATGGTGGTGAAATGTGTCATAAATCATCATGCAAAAAGACGTAAAAACGAGTTAGTTTGACGATAATAGTAATTTACAGCACAGTTCAGAGTGGATTTTTAAGCAATGGTTCCAGCAGTAACTTCAAATAAGAAATTACTGAGCATATCAACACTATAATTATTTGCCTAAATTTTGACGTACAATGGTTGAATCATGACTTTTTACTAAAGTACAATACGGGTCCCTAGAATAGTAGTAATTTTTTATCAGGATGCTAAAAACAATAAAGAATATAAGTGTTTCACAACTGATGTATTCCATATGTACCGCCAGTTGTACTTTGGTACATGTAGACTCTCTATTTTTAAATCGTCAACTTATTTATTTTATTAGTTTACATTTTTACCTTTAATCTAGGTTTTATATGGGTATACCTTTTAAATATTGGCTCTCATTCACCTCTTAGTTCTAAGATTTTCTATAACGTGTATAGCCATGTTTGCCTGATGAAAAATCATCAGAATACGCAATACTTATTGCGAAGTCATCAGGAAAATCAAGCCCGTGTCATTCGAAATGACATGCGAAATGTATGCATTGATTTATAAAAAAACCTATACATGCTTTGGGAGAATTTTAATTTACGTATATAACGAATTTACAGGGTATCAACGAGTACCTGATAGTCGCGTTTATTTTAAATATTATAAATAATGTTTTTCACATTCAATCGTGTAAAAACATCGGGAATTTCCCATTGAGACAGATGTACTATACGTGAGTTTGTTGTTTATTACACAATACGAAACCTAAGTAGGTAACAATCACTGTACAACATACGGTATGCATTATTGCGTATTTACACTTACATGGGGTTCTTTTCATAATGTTTACAGTTGACAAGTTACCCAACCTGGACACAGCCTTGGTGATAAGCCTGTTAGATGGTTAGGGAAGGTTTCTTACAAGTTTCGCCTTAACAGATCACATGTTGGCCTCGTGCTTCCTCAACGTCCGCTCTTTCAATCAATGTTTAAAATAACTCATATAAAACAAGCACGATTCAAACAATTACAGTATCGGAAACGAGAACTAAAACATTTTCTACCATGCAGTGTTTCAATTAAAAGAAAGCATCACAATATTTTGGTCAATGAGTTGCCCTTTTATTAAATGTCCAGTGGCAAGTATGTGCCCACTAAAAAATTAATATTTCAAATCCTCACCATAAATATAAAAAAAATGGAGAATATTTATATAACAAGGGGAATATCCTACCCTACTATATCCTACTAATATTATAAATGAGAAAGTTTGGATGTATGGATGTATGGATGGATGTATGGATGTATGGATGTATGTTTGTGACAAGTGAACGCGAAAAATACTGGTCGGATTGGGCTGAAATTTGGCATGATGATAGCTCACATTCCCGATTAACATATAGGCATATTCTTATTTCAAAAATCCTTTCGGGCTCCGCCCCAGTGGCTCTGGAGTTTCCCATGATAACCTTATGAGAAATGTAATTATTGAATCTTAACAGCTGTTTCAACTAAAAGTTGGTTCTGTTCTATGATGTTCAATAGCATTAAAGTTGCAAGGATTACCAAAAGGGTGCAGCACTATCATTTCTTTTACATTTATGACAACAGCTAATTTGCAACCAAAAGGTGAGTGAGCGTAGCGAACGAACTTCAACCTGGAGGCGAGTTAGCGTAGCGAACGAGCTAACCTGAAGGCAAGTGAGCGCAGCGAACGAACTCCAACCTAAACGTGAGTGAGCGTAGCGAACGAGCTCCAACCTAAAGGTGAGTGAGCATAGCGAACAAACTTCAACCAGGACGTGATTGAGCCACGCGAACGAGATAATCTTGAAAATTAAGAAGTTAAACGGGGCAAAGCCCGCGGGTTACAGCTAGTAATATTATAAATGAGAAAGTTTGGATGTATGGATGTATGTTTGTGACAAGTAAACGCAGAAAATACTGGTCGGATTGGGCTGAAATGTGTCATGATGATAGCTCACATTCCCGATTAACATATAGGTATATTCTTATTTCAAAAATCCTTTCGGGCTCCGCCCCAGTGGCTCTGGAGTTTCCCATTTTAACCTTATGTGAAATGGAATTATTTAATCTTAACAGCTGTTTCAACTAAAAGTTGGTTCTGTTCTATGGTTCTGTTCTATTATGATGTTCAATAGCATTAAAGTTACAAGGATTACCAACAGGGTGCAGCACTATCATTTCTTTTACATTTATGACAACAGCTAATTTGCAACCAAAAGGTGAGTGAGCGTAGCGAACGAACTTCAACCTGGAGGCGAGTTAGCGTAGCGAACGAGCTAACCTGAAGGCAAGTGAGCGCAGCGAACGGGAGTATTTCATTTGGTCCAAAATCGTTTGGTCCACAAGTTGTAAAACAGTTCGTTTGGTCCAAAATCGTTTGGTCCACAAGTTTTAAAACAGTTCGTTTGGTCCAAAATCGTTTTATGATCCAGTTGGGGAGTATTTCATTTGGTCCAAAATCGTTTGGTCCACAAGATGTAAAACAGTTCGTTTGGTCCAAAATCGTTTGGTCCACAAGTTTTAAAACAGTTCGTTTGGTCCAAAATCGTTTGGTCCACAAGTTTTAAAACAGTTCGTTTGGTCCAAAATCGTTTGGTCCAAAAGTACAGGCAAAACCAGAATTACGATTGTGTATTGTGGAGTAAACTTATGAAATAGACTGTACGTTTCACTGTGGACCATTCGATCGGGTCGTTTTATTCAACACTCTATTACGAGTTCGTTTGGTCCAAAAGTATGAACTATTGCGTCCCTCACATAGAAGGCGTTCAAATAATCGCCGTCACGTCGTCAACCCAACCGCCTGCCTTCCGAGGCCTATTATTTGTTGTTTTGTGATATGTTTCTAAATAATATATACTAGTGGAACCCCGTCGAAATCGACGGTTAATCTTGAGGTTTTATGTAAATTCAGCTTCCTGTGATAGATAGAGTGGTCATTAAAATCTTAGTTAAATGAAGGGAGGATAAGCAATAGTAAGGGTGACGATTGTGTTCCCTAAAAAACGTGATTGATGAATTCGTTTAACACAATATTTCCTACCTTTTTATCGGCTGGTTGCCCAAAAGGTTTTTTAGGAGTCTTATAATTGTTTGTTCATGAGTTTGTTTCATGTCAAAGCCACTTTCACTATATGGGAGAATGAGTTCATATAATTGGTCTATCATGTTACGGAAAGAGTCAATATTTATTACTAACAACTAATTCCATCTGCTTTAGGAAAATCATTCAGATTGTATCCGGATTTATAAGTAAATCTTCATCTTTGGTCATAAAAATACAGAATTTTATCAGCATATTAAATTAGTTTTTTTTTATTTGATAAAAATATCTGATTCTCCAGAAAGCAGTAACATTCTTACTTCGATCTAAGCAATTACCAATAAGCAATTGTGATAGTTGGTTTTATTCCTTCTCTTGCCATATTGACCCATGTATTTAATCATCCTGTTCTTACTTGATAATTCGTTTATTTATGGGGTAGTTTTGCCTTGGCCATACCGATCACATAAAGCTGTGCATGTATTTCGTGGATGGAATGAACCATAATTGTAGGAAGTTTGACCACAAATCTTGAACATTTGCTGAACCAAATCCATAACCTAGTCCAGCCTTGGTAAAAAATTATGCAAATGCGATGAGATGTGATGACACTGTTGTGTTTCCGAATTGTTTGTGTATAGTGAGGTTTAGATCCGTTGTTCGACCATCACATCTTTAGTTGAATAACATTCACTGACTCCATTGTGTATTCTTTAACTAAGCTGAATGAATGCATCAAAGTAAACTCTCTAAAAGTATGTAATAAACTGGAATTTAGGATTAATAACTTTCTATAACTTATCATGCATTTATTCATAAAATTATTAAAAATTTAATCCAGTTACTGAAAACCACTATTATTTTAAAAAAAAATATGGGCAACGTGCCTGAATGTTTGTCTCAGACAATTATGCATATCACAAAGAGTAGACCTATAATTGATGTACCTTAATGATATGTCTATGATAAATAAAAGTAGCCTATTTAACATTCATTTTCATAGACTGTAAAAGCCTTCTGCACTTTTATTATTCTGTATCGTATTACATAATGGGAAATTGTCCAATGATTAAATACACATGTATAACAATAATCTCGTGATGATCTGTCAGTATTGAATAATAAGACAAAATATCGGCAAAAGTAGTCAAAAAGGCAGACACCAACCAGTACAATAGATATAACATAATGCAATAAGAAATGATTGAAAGAGTTACTGTAATATTAAGATTATATAACTGTTCGTAATGGAACGTTATATTGCTAAACATGACATTATACAGAAGAACATCAATTTTAAAATAAGAAAATAAGATCCTTATATATAATTCTGTAAGACAAAATTTTTACCAGGAAATTGTGGACGTCCAGAAAATATGAGTAGGCTAATTAATGTAATTTTCATGTTCAATTTTTACCTTTTGATTAAGAATTATAGACAACCATGATCAATAGTAAACACTCCATTGTAAATAGGTACCGGTACAACAATACAAATTAAGGTGTATGATAAACATTTAAAACACGTTGGTCCACTGAACACTCTGTATATTAGAAGGTCGCCAAATGTGATAAAAACTGTTAATTTATAAGATTTCCAACCGTATGATACACTATTGAGCTTTAAGTTTGTTTATGTACGCTTTAGTGGTTTGATGGCGTCTTTAACGTTAAAAACATAGAAAGTCAACATGTTTAAAGCAAAAATTGTATTAATATTATTATTGTATACGACGGCGGATATTTGAACGCCTTCAATGTGAGGGACGCAATAGTTTATACTTTGGACCAAACGAACTCGTATTAATGTGTTGGACCAAACGATTTTGGACCAAACGAACTGTTTTACAACTGTTGGACCAAACGATTTTGGACCAAATGAACGGCAATATAACGTACAGTATATTTCATAAGTTTACTCTACAATGCAACATTTTACTTCTAGTTTGGCCTGTACTTTTGGACCAAACGATTTTGGACCAAACGAACGTGTTTTTAACTGTTGGACCAAACGATTTTGGACCAAACGAACGAGTTTTTAACTGTTGGACCAAACGATTTTGGACCAAACGAACGGCAATATAAACTGTGGACCAAACGACTTTGGACCAAATGAAATTGGATAAAACGATTTTGGACCAAACGAACGAGTTTTTAACTGTTGGACCAAACGACTTTGGACCAAATGAAATTGGATAAAACGATTTTGGACCAAACGAACGAGTTTTTAACTGTTGGACCAAACGATTTTGGACCAAACGAACGGCAATATAAACTGTGGACCAAACGACTTTGGACCATTTGAAGATGATCCCAGCGAACGAGCTTCAACCTAAACGTGAGTGAGCGTAGCAAACGAGCTCCAACCTAAAGGTGAGTGAGCATAGCGAACAAACTTCAACCAGGACGTGATTGAGCCACGCGAACGAGATAATCTTGAAAATTAAGAAGTTAAACGGGGCAAAGCCCGCGGGTTACAGCTAGTAATATTATAAATGAGAAAGTTTGGATGTATGGATGTATGTTTGTGACAAGTAAACGCAGAAAATACTGGTCGGATTGGGCTGAAATTTGGCATGATGATAGCTCACATTCCCGATTAACATATAGGCATATTCTTATCTCAAAAATTATTTCGGGCTCCGCCCCAGTGGCTCTGCAGTTTCCCATGTTAACCTTATGAGTATTCATATTTTTAAAGGGAATTAACAAATTTAGCCAGCTGTGTCAACTAAAAGAGTTGGTTCTATTATATGCAAAAGCATTAAACATTTATAAGATTTACCAACAGGGTGCAGCACTATTATTTTTTTCATCCACAAAAAACTGTGATACGCAATGAAAACTGTCAAAGTAGGATTTTTATTACAGTTATGTTTATTTTTTTAATTTCATGAATGATTTGTGATATTTTGTGAATTTTTAATAATCTATCTTTCTCTATTGTGTAGGTGAAGTGGTAGAACATTATGGCTATGGTAGATGTGTAATACTAGCATACCGTAAATTTGAGGAAGCCAATTTTCTCAAACCGTGTCTTCTCACATTGCAAACGCAAAGGTCGAGTATATCTGCATTTATACTTATTTTCCAACCCCGTATGAAGGACGGGTACCCTGCTAGTAGCATAATAAATCTACACCATGAAGTGGTGGACATCTCTCGCGAATTACATGATTTTCTTTCAATAGCTTTACTAGAGAACAGAATCATTGTCTAAAGAAGAAATATATAGTCTTTGGTGCTACTACCAGTAGTCATTCGAGTTAAGATGGTAATTGAAATCTGAGCGTCTTATAGGAATTTATGATCATATAGTTGCAGTATCTTCCTCATGGGTGGTCGATTAGTATATGTTTATAGCAACACAACTTTTAAAACGAAAAAATTATGTCTAATTTATATAGAGTTAGATTACCTACTTAGAACAATGAATTCACGGCCACCACCACAGCCACCTTCATCTCCAGGCCCCGGCCTGGTAGAATTGGCAACGTTGCAAGTGGTGTTGTCTAGCACCACGCCCGTGCTAGCGCTAGACGTCCCATAAGACAACATGGCAGACAGGTGACACCAGCTCATTAATTCGTGTATAATTTATTTAAATTTAAATTTATGAACATAAATTTATTAAAAGATTGAAAATAAAATATATAGTATTGAAAACCAAAACAATGTTTAAATTAAAAATCTATTTTTGTACATCAAATTGGAATCAATATTTTAATTGCCCAGTAAACAAGCTTTTGTATTATAAAAAAAAAATAAACGGTATCAGCATTATGACACATACTTTCTCCCATAAGTTTGTCAACAACATTTATCATGTGTAAGCGGTGAGAGTAAATATACGGAAATGGGATTTGTACAATTTTGATCAGAATTTAAAGAACTATTACAAACTAAATTTTTATCAAAATCGTTCGGGCCATTTTTGTGAAAATACGATTCTTCCTTTATTTTATGGAGTTTTTATGGGAAAATAACATAATTTACAATAACTTTTGAACAGTAGTTTTTTACAGAAATGGGATTTGTACCATTTTGTTCAGAATATAAAAGACTAAAACATACTAAATTTTCATCAAAAACCGGATTTTTTTTCTAAAGTCCTATTTTCGTTATTTTATGGGGTTTTTATGGGAAAATAACATAATTTACAATAACTTTTGAACCGTAATTTTTAGAGAAATGGGATTTGTACCATTTTGTTCAGAATTTAAAGGGCTACAACATATTAATTTTTTATCAAAATCGTTCGGGCCATTTTTGAGAAAATTCGATTTTTCCTGTTTTTTATGGGTTTTTATGGGAAAATCCCCATTAAAAATCAAAAATTCAAAAAAATGAAAAAACACCTGGAGATACCATGGATTAGAACCTACATACCAAATTTCATCGAAATCGGACCACAGGTGTAGTCTCTAGCTCTGTACACATCCAGACACACACACACACACACACACACGCACACACACACAGACATCACTTCGAAAACCACTTTTTTGGGTCCACAGGGGGACTCAAAACGAATATATCCACTCAAAACTCAAACTCGAAAATTTTGACGAAAACAATACTTTCTCCAAACTATGGTATAGGGGGAGAAAGTAAAAATTACCATTTTAGCTACCTTCAAACAAAACAGCTGTTACAACCCTACTTGCGATGTTGCCACTTCTGAAGCTAGAGGTGGCCGTGCCACCGCACATGTAGGGCTGGTACTGTTTCGCTGAGAGTCTGTCTCTAAGCAAAACACAAACAAAATAAAACAAAACATGTGTCAATGACATTTCCATTTCCCATCATGAATCATGATTGTTGTTTTAGGTTTTCTGTAGAATAATCATTTACAAAATTTATTATATTCATATATTATTTTTACTGATTGGTGAGTAAACTTCTATGGTAAATTTACTAATTTTAAACTAAAAGATATTCTACACCAAAATGCATTTAGGCTAATACAGAATTTAACAACAATTAAGTTACCAAGTTGTTGAGGTTTGGACCTAGAGCCTAGACTAGGTTACATGCTTTTGTTTTGTGTAATTCTATTAGGCCTAAAATGGTATGTTGATGTCGTAGCCTATAGAGAAACATTTCAGAGACAAAACAGGCCTATTGTTGGTTCTAGCCTGCTGTAGAAATTAGGCTAACCCTCACCATGTCTAAACTAGGCCTACCTACAATTGCCGTACCTACCACTGTGAAACAAATCTAACAGTTTTCTTTGTTTTTCAGATACCTACCTTGAATCCTCAAATGACTGAGCGATCCGCAGAAGCCCCTGTCTAGCTGGTGACAGAATGCCCACCTACCTAACTCCCAACAGACATGGCTACTCCGTACGCTTCTCACCATTCCAGCCAGAGAAGCTTGTATGTGCCACCAGCCAGTATTTTGGACTAGCAGGTAAGTAAGTTTTAAATAACTTAGGCCTTAAGAGACTCAAAGATTAATCTAAGTTAAACGTTGGTTAACTTATAAGTTATTTGCTCTAAGTTAGTGAAATAGTGAATTTTGGCAGCTAAGTTAGATAGCTTAAGTTAAATGACTCTCAGACTATATAATCATGCTCTTCAAAAGTGTATAACTTTTGTAGGTAATTATATCGACCTCCGGACCTCACGCGAAATTAAAATTTTTTTTTTCTAAAATGTTCGAAATTTCACGCTGATTTCAAAAATGATTGTCGTTTTTTTCGGAAACGTCCCGTTTTCCCGGAAAATGGGAAAAACGGGAAAAATATTTTTTTGCTCAAAACCCATGTTGTGGGTACTCAAATTGTGCGGAATTTCATCCTGAACAAGAATATGTAAATTTCATTACGATCGGACCACTATTAAGTAAAATATCACCGAAAAACGGGAAAACGGGGAAATTTTTCTTTGCTCAAAACCCATGTTGTAGGTACTCAAATTGTGCGGAATTTCATCCTGAACAAGAATATGTAGTTTTTATTACGATCGCTTTAAAGTAAAACATCACTGGACAGGTTACCCAACCTAACATGACCTAACTTAGGTTTACATTAGGTTAGGTTAGGTTAGGATAGGTTAGTTTAGATTAGGTTAGAAGTTAGGTTAGGTTAGGTTGAGTTTCGTTAGGTTAGGTTAAGTTTGGTTAGGTTAGGTTAGGTTAGTTTAAGTTAGGTTATTTTAGGTTAGGTTAGGTTAAGTTAAGTTAGGTTAGGTTAGGTTGGTTAAGGTTAGGTTGAGTTTCGTTAGGTTAGGTAAGGTTAAGTTTGGTTAGGTTAGTTTGGTTAGGTTAGGATAGGTTAGTTTAGGTAAGGTTAGTTTAGGTTAGGTTTGGTAAGGTTAGGTTAGTTTAGGTTAGTTTACTTGCAATATTCATGTTATTGATAAACTTACCTAACCTAACCTAAGTTCCTAAGTTAGGTTAGGTTAAGTTAGGTTACACTAAACTAACCTAACGTAACCAAACTTAACCTAACCTAACCAAACTTAACCTAACCTAACGATACTCAACCTAACCTAAACCAACCTAACCTAACTTAACCTAACCAAACCTAAACTAACCTATCATAACCTAACCTAACCTTATCTAAACAGGATTAGATTCGAAGGTTAACAAAACTCAACCTAACCTTACCTAACCTAGCTTAACCTAACCTAACCTAACTTAATCTAACCTTACGAAACTCAACCTAACCTAACCAAACCTAACCTAACCTAACGAAACTCAACCAAACCTAAACTAAACCAACCTAACCTAAAATAACCTATCCTAACCTAACCTAACCTAACTTAACTTAACCTAACCTAAACTAACCTAACTTAAACTAACCTAACCTAACCTAACCAAACTTAACCTAACCTAACGAAACTCAACCTAACCTAACCTAACTTCTAACCTAATCTAAACTAACCTATCCTAACCTAACCTAACCTAATGTAAACCTAAGTTAGGTTATGTTAGGTTGGGTAACCTGTCCAGTGATGTTTTACTTAAAAGCGATCGTAATAAAAACTACATATTCTTGTTCAGGATGAAATTCCGCACAATTTGAGTACCTACAACATGGGTTTTGAGCAAAGAAAAATTTCCCCGTTTTCCCGTTTTTCGGTGATATTTTACTTAATAGTGGTCCGATCGTAATAAAATTTACATATTCTTGTTCAGGATAAAATTCCGCACAATTTGAGTACCCACAACATGGGTTTTGAGCAAAAGAATATTTTTCCCGTTTTTCCCATTTTCCGGGAAAACGGGATGTTTCCGAAAAAAACGACAATCATTTTTGAAATCAGCGTGAAATTTCGAACATTTTGGAAAAAAAAATTGTTAATTTCGCGTGAGGTCCGGAGGTCGATATAATTACCCTTTTGTAATGTGATAACGAACACTGCTTAGTTTTGAAATTACTCAACATTGTACTTAATTTAGTCCTCTTAAAATAAAGGTCACAGGCGAACTCCATAAAACCAACTAACTTATTGTAAAAGTATTTACGCTAGGCTACTATAAGTTACGTTCCATTATGGTAGCCATCCAACCTGGCTAGTACACAACCTAACTACAAATATACAGTAGATGTTAGTTTAACTCCTATCCTGATTTATTGTTATATCAAAAGTCATTTAGAGATGGGAACTAACTTAACTTAAGTTAAGATCAAGATGTTTAAGTTTACAGCAACAAAGTACCTTGACTAGAGGGTTTCATCATTCTTTGTCCGACAGGAGGAGGCACTCTATTTGTACTAGAAGTAACTCCTGATGGTTCACTAGTTGAGCTGTCCACTTCACAATGGCCGGACGGCTTGTTTGACGTTGTCTGGAGCGAGACTGACCCCAACATTGTTGTGACGGCCAGTGGAGACGGAGTTCTGCAGCTATGGAACATATCCTGTCCTCAGGTAAACCATGTTTTACTTAGCCTATTACTGCAAGTTTATTTAAACTTAAATTCTTGTAATATTTTCATAAGTTCAATTGAGATAGGGATGCAGCCTAGGTGCATATTTTTACTCGAATATAAGTCAGCTGTTTCATTAGCCAAGATGATTGATCTAAAGCCAAATGATCACGGATAAGTTTAGTCAGAATCCAATTTCGAACCATCTAAAAAGCTAGACTTTTCTCAGGATCGATCTGGCAACCATTTGATTATCAGGCGAGCACTATAACCACTCAGCTACCCAGCCAGTCTTAATCCATATATAACTTAGACCTTTAATAGAAATCCAATTATCCAAATCAACTCCCAGGTATAATCAGATGATGAAAAATTCAAATACCGTAATTAGGTTTTCACTGAAATCTGTCGTAGGCCTATTTTACAGAGAATAAAAAGTCGAGTTGAGTCGAGCTTTTACTAGGCCTATAGGGATCGTAGAAAGTGACTGCAAAGATTTAATGATAGAAAAATTTACGCTTTTGTCGCAATTTCGGAAAAAGATTGTAGGCCTACAAGTAAGCTATGTTGTTTCTGTGGCTACGGGAGACGATGATGATTTTTACAAGACCGTGGAAGATGTTCAAGTTATTGCTGTAATTGTAGAAAATTATGAAGAGACCCACCGCGTGAGACCTTGGTCATGTCTATGCGACTGCTGGAGATACCGGTACCTAATCAAGATTTGGTTTCTGCAATAATTTATTTAGCCAGAAAAAGAACAAAAAATCTGCATTTAGCTAAGTCATGACATTATTTTAAAACATGCCTTATGTTACATATAAGACTTACAAATACAGAGATTTACATAATAGCTTACATAATTATTTGTGTAATTTTAGAGTCTTATAAATTAATGTTTGCTTGGTTTTAAAACTGCCTCATCACTTTAAGATGTTGAGTTTTAAAGAAGCGTGTCTGTTACAGCTTCCCCCTCAGACGCTGAGAGAACACAAGAAGGAAGTATACAGTGTCGACTGGAGTCAAACAAGACAAGAACAGTTTGTGTTGTCTGCGTCTTGGGATTGTAGTGTCAAGTTGGTAAGTGACAACAGATTTGCTTGGTATTTTCCATGATTTATTTTCTATAGGTGGACCCATTTTCTTTCTTTTGTCAAATATTTTAAAGTAAACACAAGATTTTGAAAATGCCTTTGTTTAGGCTAACTTTCTGTTATGTAGGTTTTTTTCAACCTCAAATCGTTCGGTAAAGGCCTAGGAGGCTAGGCTAGTGGTATTTAGATAGCAGACTGTATGCACAGTAGGCAACTTTTTGCAGAAATCCCCTGGAGCTAAATTGTGAACGTCAAAATCTGGTAATCTCAGGGAAAATCCGGGGATATGGCAACCCTAAATCAGTCTGTATGTGCTAAAGCCTATTAACTTAAAGATAAGATGACTGCCGTTGCTGATGTACTTAAGATTAAGTATGAACTAGATTAAGTAGGCTAGTAAAATGTAATTAATTTTCTTCAAGCAGTACAATGCTCACAACATCGCTCATGAAAGTTTTATTCAAACACTCGGCACATTATACAATGAATTTATACCTGCGGACATTGAATTCAGTATTGGCAGTAGACTCAGGAATGGCGGCCATTTTATGTAATTCTGCAAAAGATTGATCGCTTGGCGTCAGTATTGTTGTAAAGGTGATGTGTGTAGTGTGGGAGTTGGTCTGTCACTGTGCATACCGCTTTCTGCTGTGGACTAAGTGAATAATGAATTCGAGGTTGAAACATACCCTCGCTCATTTATTTCAGTGGGTATGTAACTTAGCCTAGACCAAGATTGAATGGTTGAGCTATGATCCCTCATTTTGTATAGTCATAGACATTTCAAGTTTGCTTTCAAGAGGTTTGATCGTTATTCTTATAAAAGTTAAGTGAAACAACTTACTTTTTGGTAACTTCTGACTGCTCTGACATTAAAGGTTAGCTATTTTATCACTTAGGCTAGGCTATACATTTTTATATACATTTTTTCACCTCATCAAAGAACAAAAATCTTAGGCCTTTTTTGTTCCATAGTACAGTTTAATTTTGATTTGTTAAATAAGTTTGCCAGGTGTTAACTCATCTAGGCTTACCCTCCATTGTGTTGGTGTCAGCCTTGATCTAAGTTATTGCAAAAACTAGCAAGAGGAATATTTTGACATAAAGGTTAAGGTAAGCGACATGTGTTTCATTGGTAAGTAAAATATTTAAATTTGGTTTATAGCAACAGAAAAAGTTTTATCCTGTATGCTGTAGTTTGTTTCCTGTAGTCGTCTATTACCTTAGGAGTAGAGGTATTGAAGAGTATTGGAACTAAAAACCACGTGTATTTTTATTTTTAAATTACTGGTGGTAGTTTAGACCAAATTATCCTCGGTAATGAATGGTGACCAAGTGTACATTGTTAATTATTAATATTTTGGCTCCTACTCTGTCTAACATGGTGATAATCCTGCCTTTTAAAATTTATTTTGATATTTTCCAGTGGGACCCAAACCGTGCAATCTCCCTAGCCACATTCCTAGGACACTCACAGCTAGTATATAACGCCATGTGGTCTCCCCATGTACCTTCATGTTTTTCATCAGTATCAGGTAAACTGCTTGCTTAAGCTAAAACACCTTAAAGAAAATTTCAGATTTACCTTAGGAAAACCCCGAAGAATGTTTTGGAGTTGATTGTGGGCATTTTTATCAAATGTTTCCAGCATTAAATCACTAAGAAAAAAAATCTTTAAAATGTATAACAAATTTATACTTAACTAGCTGTTTGCCCGTTCTACGTACAGGAATCTTGTAGTAAGTCAAAACCTTATATTCAAAACAGGAGTTGGTTTGCGTTTGCATATTTAGTGTGCATTTTTCCAGATATGATGGCAAAACTATAACTGTTTAGGAAAACATATAAACCTTCTCAAATACAATATCTGACAGTTTCAAAGCCAAAACAAATGCTTCGCAATTAAATGTCACCTGATCGTGTTAGTCCATATTTTATATCTAACGATGAAAGGAATTGCTTTACAGTATAGATCTATGAGGCATAGCCCTAAGGTAGGCCTGTAATGGAAAGTTACTTTTCACAGTGGTTAAAAGTAGACCTAGTTAAAACACTAACTCAACCTCACTACTGCGCACTTTATTCGGGTAAAAAAAAAAAAAACTCACTTGATGTGGTGAAGTACCGGTACCGAAGTTATTAACGATTGATGATGTTATTAACGATAAAATCTCCTTTGGTTTTAATTTTTTTTAGTTTTCAAAAATCAAAGCTATTTCCTATTAAGGGCGCGCTTTACCCGCAGTAGAAATCCTGCGATCGTTGTTGCTAACGCCAGTTACGCCGTTATGAGTTGGGAGCGCTAGGAGCGATGCGGCGAGAGGGGAAATGGCAAGATGGCCGCAACTGGCAAGCAACGAACTCCGGGCTGCACAGCGCTTGAGACTGAGATGGCTCTCGCACGCGCAGTCGCGCCCGCCCGCGCACCACTCACTGCCAGCCACGGCCACAGTAGACCAGCGCTTTTCGGTAGCCTTGCCTCGTCGCATCAACACAACCACACAACTCAAACTAGGCTACTACTGGGTGTAAGCGCTCCGATGTCGCGTACAGTATAATCATAGACTAAGCAACAAGTTTGTTTCATCTATGGTAGAATGTAGCGAAGTAAGCTATGTTTGTTATTCAAAATTATTACTTTTTTTCTACACCATTAGACATCTTAAAATTATGGACATTGGCAGTAAAAAAAGGAAATTTGTGTACATGACGTACAAATACACATTATAATTTGTCCTTCACTATATGCAAAGTATACACAACAAATACATAAAGGGTACCTAATATTATTTTATTTTCCAACAGGACCCTAGTCCACATCCTGGATTACATGGCAACTATTTAAAAACTCGGTAGGATTATAAAATTATTTGAAAATATATTTATTAATAAGGATTTGATGATTGAGTTGATTATGGATTATAGATTTTGATGATTTGATGAATTAAATCTCGGATATAGACCCTAATAGAATTTATATCCTATCTCTGATGGGTAGCCCTCTTGGGTATCTGGGATCAATAAGTTCTGGCAGAATGCATTTGAAATAGAAGTCAGTTAGTGGATTTTCCATATTCTTCCTCCAGAACTCATCGTCTCTCATGATCTTCTCCACTGACAAACCATGAGGTGTCCAAACTACAAACAAACAGTATTTCAATTTTGTTAATTTATATTATTACAGTATCTTGATTACTATTTTATTTTTTATATACAATAATAATGATTGTGCAACATTGAATTTCGTTTATAAAAATGCAAATCGTGACGTTAATGGCTGTTTACAGCGTTTTAATGAGTTTGTCATCTGTTTTTATACTATATTGGATTAACCGTATTTTTCATTACCCCCCCCTCTCCCTATTAACTCAGGTAATCGAGTATCTACAGATAAGTTCAAAGTATTGTAACCTATGCTACTTGCTACTTGATTGTATTTTAACGAGCTTTATGTCAACAAAGCGGTTTGTGCTAACTCGCGGTGTAGCTGGACGTGTCTGTACCACGTGTTATCTATTATCTATCGCAGCAGTTGAGCCATTCCGTGCCCTTTCTCTTAGATCTCACGACTTGCTAATCTTAAATAATAACTTTCTACACAAATCCTAAACTATCCTAAAATCCTATTTTAACTAATTTAATTAAATAATATAACTATTACGGCGACTTCGTAATATATTTTGGATTGTTGTCACGTTGAACACTGTTGCAATTAGCTTTAGCCCCCCCCCCCATTTGAATTTTTTTAGCCCCCCCCCCAAGAATTTCAATGACGCAGTCTGCGTCACAGCCCCCCCTTGTGGGCACCCCTGCGCTTGCAGATACTAGGCTGAAAAAAAATTGGTAGTTTAAATAATGATTAGGTTACCTTTTTTAAACCTTTTAATGATTATATCCCGCTTATGGTAATCTAAAACACATTTAAAAAATTGCCCGCGCGTTTATTGTATTGAGTATAAACAACTGGTACTAATAATTTGATTTTTAACAATGGCCCCCTGTTATTTACTTCTCCGGTACACACAGATCTAAGATTTATTTGTACATTGTTTATTACTATATTTCACTGCACAAAGTACTAGCTGATATAGATTGTATAGATTTTTGCTATGGATTATAAACAAAACAATGACAGTCTGTTGGTAGCTATAACCCTTATAACAGTTGTTGCCTTATTTGTCATAAGTTCGCCTTATTTTGACAATGACCTTCAAACCTATAAAGACAGTTACGGTACTAATTTTATCTGCTTATTAATTGCCTTATATTGATTCCTAAACATAATTAACAATAATAATAACAATAATATAACAAACCACTCACCAAATATTTCTCTTTCTTTCCCACCACTTATCAAGATTCTTCGCTGTAGACCTTTTCCTTTTAGTGGAAAGTGTCAAATGTCGTTTGACACGAGTTTTCCTTGAAGTTCCAGGCATTTAAAAACTCACTTTTAACTATCTCTAAACTTCACAAACACAGTTATGCTACCAGTACACTATCGCCAAACATTCGCCCGAATGTTTCGCCGAATGTTCGCGTTAGTTTGCGACCGCGAATGTTGACGAATGTGAAGCCCAAACGATCCCGAACTAACCAAGTACACTATCGGCTAACTTCGGCCGAACTGTGTTGAGTCCAATATTGCGTATTCGTGGCAAAACATTCGCACCAAACCCCAAACCGCTAACGTCAAAGACTATTCTAGAAAATTATAGAGGAAATTCTATGATTTCCGTTACAGTAGTTTGAGTTAGACACCACTTGAATGTATCCTATGTTTCTTACTTCTCTGTGGCTTCGTAATGTAAAATTAATGCCAATTTTTTTATTAAAATGTTTGTTTTCTTAAGCGATACTTTATTTATGTATATAGGCTATGCAATTAAATCATCCCACGGCCACAGAACAGGCTCACTACGGTATAGTTCCAAAAATAACAGTGATTCCTCATTAGAACACTCCATACTTTGTACAATTTATCTATATAAGATCTAGTAGTAAATAATTGATTAACAAAAACTAAAAGTATCTCTAACTACACCACCGCTGCAGTAAATACTGTAGAAAGAGTGTCCATGACTACGAATGACAGCGAGTGTGTACTGGCTGTGTTCGTGCCCGTCTGCGATCGGCATTCGTCCTAGTTCGTCTCCTTTGATTCGTGACGGGAGACTGCCAAAAAAGCGAGCGCACCCGAACACGAATGTTGGCGATGCGAACTACCCCAAATGTACACGAGCACACCGAGTACACTATCGCGCTCGTCTTAGGCCCCTATTACACGAGGTAGCCTGGCGACGCACTGGCCACCAAACCTATAACCAGTTGAGTAGCCAGTTGAGTAGCCAGAATTTTACCGCCGTGGCGCCGTTGTTGTGAGTGCTTATTAATGTTTGCGCCACAGGAATTTTTGGGGGGGGACTTTTTTGGGGGGCTTTTGGGGGGGACATGTTTTTGCTAGCTATCATAATGAATGTATAATTTTGTATAAACAACAACAAAATTTTGCTTGTCTTGCACTTGTACTTGTTATGAGCGGTGTTTACAGTGAATAATGAGTGATTATAAGTATCTTCTCCTTCTGTTACTTCTGAAGAAAAGGAGGCAAAGGAAGAGAAAAATGTACGTTCATCCAATGCTTAGTGCAAGAGAATCAAAAGGGTTATATTACGCCCTTTTTGATGAGCTCTGTGCGGACAATACAAAATTTTTCAATTATTTTCGTATGTCACAATCTAGTTTCTTTGAGTTGTTAGGTCTCACAACACACAGCACAACAGTGTGCAAGTACCCCCGTGATATGAACTGACCGAGTGGCGACGTGATACTGGCGACCTAGTGTAATAAGCTCCATATGCTACAACGCAGCGTCGCCAATATGGGTAGCCAGTGGCTACCACAGTGGCGACGGGGCTCGGTAGCCAGTCGGTCGCCAAAGTGTGGCTGCGTCGCTGGCTATCCTCGTGTAATAACATCCATAAGAATCAGGGGTGCCCAGAGGGGGGGACTGTGGCGCGTTTGCGCCACAGGAATTTTTGGGGGGGGACTTTTTTGGGGGGCTTTTGGGGGGGACATGTTTTTGCTAGCTATCATAATGAATGTATAATTTTGTATAAACAACAACAAAATTTTGCCATTCGTAATTAAGATTGCTTCTAAGAATGGTAAAAACAAAAACACACCTTGTCAGGCAATCCTTAATATTCTAGTGTCGAATTTTACTTGATACATATGTTTTGGTGGTTCTTAAACTCCATTATCGTCAGGCTTACATAAAGATCCACTTCTGGAGGTGTCGTAAGAATACGTTACAAACATTTAATACAAAACACGAAACGATTACAGATATGCCTATCAATTCACGCGTGTACATTGCCGTCGGCAGGACTGGGAGTAAACTGAATCAGGTTCAGGTTATGACGGAGACGGACTGACGTGTCCTCTAGATTGCCGTCTGAGTTTTCAACAGCTGATCACTATTGTAATGACTGAGAAGAGTGTTGAAAATATAATGGAATTCATAGTTAATCGAGTGTTTTCACTCAAAAATTGTGTGCTGTCCCTAGTTTTATGTATTTATAAATTTCAAACTCTTCAAAAGTATTTAATAAATTTCCTTTCGCGCAGTACTGTAGAATTTCGAGACCTCATTTATATCCAGCATATAAATTGGTTATTATTGTCAATAATTTTGAATGGAAAACTCAAATATGAATCCCATCATATTTTCAACACTCTCCTTCGTCACTACAATTAGTCCAATATCAGCTTTTGATAACACAGACGACAATCCAGAGACCACGTCTTTCCGTCATAACCTGATTCAGTTTACTTCCAGTCCTGCCCGCGGCAATATACACGCGTGAATTGATAGGCCTATCTATTATCGTTTCGTGTTTCGTTTTTAATGTTTGTAACATATTCTGACGACACCTCCAGAAGTGGATCCTTTTGTAAGCCTCGGATGGTGGAGTTAAAGAACCGCCAGAACATATGTAGCAAGTAAAATTCGACTCTACCTTACATATATTATTAAGGATTGTCTGACAAGATGCGTTTCTACCCTACCATTATTAGTCGTAAGAGGCAATTCTGGGGCTATCAAAATGAGATTACTTCATCACAAAAACCTTTTATGCTGGTGGCAATTAAGGAATTCTGGGTATTTTTTCCGGCGATTTTTGTAGAAGGAAGCCTAAGAGTGGCGAGCAACAAGTCTGTCCTATTTCGTGACTCTGCCTATAATTCTGAAATAAGATAGCCTACTTTTTGCCAAAGTATTATTAATGCACTTAAAGCTGTTTGAATTCTTAAGCCCCGTAAAATTAACGCCACCTAATATATTGTACAGTTACAGTACTGTGTTGGAGTAGAGTAATTCACCGAGTATATTGTACGTTTTGAAGACATTTTCTATTGCAATACTGAGTAACTGTTGGCTGATAATACAGATTCTGAATTTTAAATTGAAAAACTTCTAATTCGTCCATTGGTTAGATATAATGATACATTGTTAAATGACGTTTACTATTAAACATTTAATTTTGATTATCAGAAAGTTTGTTTTTATTTACCTCAACTTTTACTAAATACTTTAAATGCTCATTTTATGAGGTAAAGGGGAAATTTACAGATAAATTGGCGGGGGAGGGTAGGTTTAAATAGACGGCAGCATAAATTGGGGGGGACTACTCCTTTGGCTTGGGGGGGGATTGCGCCTCTGGGTTTGGGGGGATGGGCACCTCTGATAAGAATCAATGCCCCATGACAAGCTGAGTAGCCAGTTTGGTCGCTGGCGACGTCGCCAGGCTACCTCGTGTAATAGGGGCCTTAGTTCGCCTACATTCGGCGATAGTGTACTGCAGGCATTAAACACAGAGGTAGAGTAGCGCCGGGTTTGACAGATGGAAACACGTGGATCAAGCATTGGAGGGGTGAGAAGCGGTGCTGAGAGGGGGATTTCCGGCGAGCTTCCCCGAGCTGCCGCTAGACGCCGGCACCGCACAGTGGTAATTTTTAATTTGCAGAGGTTTCCAAGATTACTCTTTTCGAATTAACCAATAATGATAGCTACGCACTCTAAACGGATTATAGTAGTAAAAAGACCAATCTATAGTTCTGCGTTTTTAAAATTTTCAAATAACGTTTTTTAAATAAGTTACGGCTAGTCGAAAAGGCCCTTTTTTCTTGTAATAAAACTCAAGTTTATAAGGTGTGTAATAAAGATAATTGAAATATAGAAACGCAGAACTATAGAAAATTTCATCCTCTTTAATATGAGACCTTAAATTTGATTCTATCTTCAATGTAGCAGGTGAAAAGAGAAATCTTGCAAACCCTTGCATTCGGTTGCGCGTCAGGGGTAAAGCGCGCCCTTAATAGCATTATTTGTAAGCAGCTTTTAATGTTAGGTAACATATTAATGACAGTTTGAAGAAACCACCTTTATCCAAACAAAGGTTTCTCATTTAAATGATTACGTAATCTCTAAACGATAATCGTTACATATATCTAGCAAACATTCGGAGGAAATGTGACAAAAAACGCACAAATCTGGGGTTTTGTACGTTTCTAGTTTTATTTCCTAAGTAGGAAAAGTACCGATATCGTTTTCGAAATGTAAGTAAGTAGAAACCAAAAGTGTCACATTGGAAAAGCGAGTTTAGCTACATCTGTTAAGTTAAACCTCTGTTACGGTACGATCACAGCGAAATCAGAAAGATCTTCCAAGATCGTATTAACATCCACGATCACCCACTGCAGTTGTTATTTTTTACTTTGCACTTTACACAACCGTCCTTGAAGCACCGTCAATGAGTGGAAACCTTTGTAAGCTACGGTATTGGTGACGATGATTAAAAAAATTTAAGTTTCCTTGCACTAATACAACACTGAATCACGGTATTTTCCCCGGTTATCAAAACTCAAGAACAAGCGTTGCACTTGCGATTAATTAAACCGGTTAAGTAAGGCACAACGTTTTTAATCTCACTTGGTTTGGATGTGCTGACAAAACGTGATCGGGAATGGTTGCGGTATTATTTGTAAACAACTTTTAATGTAAAGATATCAGAGACAGCTAGAAGTGAGAACTAATCCAAACAGCTGATCGTTATTTCATAAAATGTAATAAAATAGTAAACATTGGGAGAAAATTTGACAAAAATCGAACAAAATTGGGTTTTTGGTGGTTTGTTATTTTGTTTTTGAAGAAGCGAGGCCATGTTTTTGTAGCCAAAGACACTCTGACCAATCCAGTAAATACAGAAAAATGATTAAAACCTTGATCGGTACTCTAGTTTTCTAGGAGTAGGCCGCGTAAAATGACATTTTGGCGTTACAGACGGAGTCACAGAATGGACAAACAGACATACAGACAGAAATTGAGATAAGACTCGTTTCGGCTTTCTTAGGCTATGAAACGTAAAAATAACCAAAAACCGCATGATTCTAAGCAATGTACAGACAAAACTGTAATTTTATTTAGGCCTATATAGATTTAACATTAGTTTTGTGTTTGAAGCCATGGTTGCGAATATTTTCTATTCTTTAACCATAGAATATTTTTATATTGATATTTTTTACAAGATTTAGTCTCACACACCGCCATTTGAGCTGATTATTTTTACATAACTAATTGAGTAAACAAACTTGAATGTCAAAAATTCAACAACTAAAACCAAGTTTTGATATTTTACATAACTAATTGAGTAAACAAACTTGAATGTCAAAAATTCAACAACTAAAACCAAGTTTTGATAAATTTTTTTTGCCAATGCCCTGTCAGCTAAGTTTGACTGCCAGCTAAATTATGTTGATTGTCGAGATGCCGGGTGTCAAGTTAGTGAGGTTTTACTGTATTTTTTAATGATGCTTTAAAACATAAAATGGTAATAGGACCAAAGTTTGAACTGTTTCCATTAATGGTTGACTTTGCAAATGATGTTGAAACTATGATATTCCCACACAATATATCACCGCACTATCACTTTGCAGGTGACGGAACACTGAGGATATGGAACTCTCTGGTTCCTCAAAGAGCCACCATGACACTGAAGGCACACGACGCTGAGGTACTGACCTGCAGCTGGTGCAAGTATGATCAGAACATACTAGCTACAGGTGGCAGTGACGGACTCATCAGAGGCTGGGACATGCGGAGTCTGGTCACTCCGGTGTTTGAACAGAAGGTAGGCTACTACTGTGTGTGGTAGGTGTACTGTGTGTATACTGTGTGTAGGCCTATGTTAATGTGTAGTTTGTAAGTACAGTATGTGGCTCCGGGTCTGAAGGGCAGCTGCTCTTAAAACCATACATATTTCTTACCTCCCAACCATTTAAAAATACAGTTTTTGTTAAGATAACAGAATCTGATATGGGTATAAAATTATACATTTTGCTATCACTGACAATATATTAACCAAAGTGCTGAATTTGGAGGAAATGTCTTCAGATCACCTTCAAATTCCTCAACTTTCAGATAAGACCGTTATCCTAAACCAAGTTTCTAGAACTTGTAGCTTACCATTGTACTCTTCTTTGTGTCCCTAACCCTACTATGATTAACACAATCCATTTAATGGTATAGCAGTGTCCACATAGTACAAATGTATTGCACAGCAAAAGCAGATATGGAATTGAATATTGACTCATTCTTTAAATAAAAATTGGGAAGGACTTTGATTGTGAAAAAGTGTACAAAAAAATTTACTTTTTATCTACTTTGTTGAAATTACTATGGAAATAACCTTGCCCTGTGATTTGACCTTTAGCTCTCTCTAACCAATCTTGTAGGTAGAGTGAGTAAGTTGCGGGAGAACTAAAAAATTGGTAGATTATTTTCCCATAAACATTAAAACGCCTCTAAAAACTTTATAGAACTGTAAAAGATATAACTTAATTCAATATTTTATGTTTATGTAAAAGGCTACTGTACCTTTCAAGAATACCACCAGAAAATAATTGTAATGGGGAGAGCAAATTCCCAATGCGGTCTGCGGGTCCCAAAATTAGTGGGTCGGGCTGGGCAACAATACATCAGATTAAGCCATAGATAATTTAGGCCAAGCAGGTCAGGTAATTTATAGCCTAGACCCAAGCTTTTATTCTCTTGCATTCGCAGAAAACTCTAAAAAGATTGAGCCATTGAAAATTGACAATCCTGCTGCGGTTAAGGGAATTAATTAGATCACAATTTACTGGAATCTCAGGAAACGATAAAGATTTTGAGGTAACCCCAGAAGATGTTTGTGGATTTGCTGCGACCGCAGGAGATATTTACGATTCTGTCTAGACCACAGAAGACATTTATGATATTATCATGACTGTAGCAGACGTTCACAATTCTTCCGTATCCACAGAAGATGTTCACAATTTTGTCACGATCAATTAAGACAATGATGATCAGCGACGATGGAAACGATCACGATTTCACTGGCTGCTTACGTTTTGCCTCGACCACAGGAGACGTTTAAGATTTACAAAGCAGAACTTCTAATAAACAGATTAGGCTAATTTACAACAATTAAGTGTAATATTTGAAAAGATCCACATTCCAAAGCAATCTGACTGCCTGCTGTACAAAATACATTTTAACTTTTGACACACACCTAACCTGTGAGCCTCCGGGCCAGCAGTAATCAGGCCTATTTACAAAATAGGTGCTAGATAATATGGGTTGTTAGTAGGCCTACCGTTGAATTGACAAGAAATAATAACAAAATTGATATTACAAAGGAGAAGTAAGCTAGGCCTACAAAGTCAGACTAGAAAATCCTTTATGTAATGTCTATCATTTTTCCAAAGTGGCTTTGAGAAATATTACACTTAGGCTATGTGTTGTGCTTATAGTTTATTATGTGTTAAACATTTACCTATGTTTCAGGGCTGTGAGTATGCTGTGAGAAGGATACAGTTTTCACCTCATCATCTGTCTGTGTTAGCGTCTGTATCATATGATTTTACCACTAGGTAAGTTATTGTGCAAAATATCCTTTACTTTACTCTCCAGTTGAAAGAATTATTCCCAATTTATTAGTTTGTTTTTAATAAATATTGCTTCAAAAGCTATCAGATCGTATTTATCAGACTCAGTGTGTTTTTTAGTCATGATTCTTTTTTGCTTATGCATAAGATTTAGGTTATAAAAGGTTATAAAACGAGGTTATAAAAGCCTATTCACTGAAATCATCAATGCTGAAGTGGTAGTTCAGACATTAAATGATACAAATGAGCAAAACATTGCTCGAGTTATGATAAATAACAAAGTTAACAAGATAGTGAAAAACCATAGGAATTCGAAAATAAACTCTGATGAAATTAGAATATTAAAGGAGATTCAGAACAAAGTAAAAAACAACAATTTATATGTCACTAAAGCAGACAAAGGCAATTCCTTAGTCATAATGAATTTAGTTGATTACAATGAAAAAGTCCTAAATTTTATAGCATAAATTCGAACAACATTGATGAGCTACCCAAACATCCGACCATCCAGTTTACCAAAGACATTAATAAGGCCTTATCTAATAGCAAAAATCTGTTAACAGAGAATGAGATCAGATATTTAAAGCCCATCAACCCTCAAGCCCCACTACTCAGAGGTTTGCCAAAATTACATAAGGACAATAAACCTGTGAGACCGCTGGTGAATTTTATGCCTGCTCCTACTTACGGAATAGCTAAAAAACTTGAGCGCATTATAAGAAACGAGATCAAACTAGAAAATACACACAGTCTTAAAAATAGCCTTGAACTGATAAACAACATTAAAAACACACGCCTGAACCCAAGATTTAATCTGGCCTCATTAGATATAACAAACCTGTATACTAACGTACCAGTAAAAGAAACCTTGGATATCCTACACAATAACCTTAAGGAACACTCTAAAATGAACGACAACCAACTTAATGAATTTATGACATTACTGAAAATTGATTTGAAACAAAACTACTTCCATTTCAACAACGATTTTTACATCCAACAAGAAGGTCTCGCAATGGGCTCACCATTGTCAGGCATTTTGGCAGAAATCTTTCTCAATAATATCGAAAACAGATACATATGGACCGATAACAACCGCTATCGAAACAAACTAATATTTTATTACAGATATGTTGATGATATTGTGATTTTGTATGATGGCAATCCAAGACAGGTTCAGTTGTTCACCACTTTCATGAATACCATCCATCCCAAATTAAAATTCACTCTCGAATTAGAAGAAAACAATTCTCTGAATTTCCTCGATCTGACATTGAATAAACGTGATAATTGTTTTGCCTTCAATATCTATAGGAAACCAACAGCTACGGACACAACTATTCACGCAACGTCTCATCACCCTATGTCTCACAAACTTACCGCATATAATAGTTTTGTTCATCGCCTTTTAACCATACCATTGAACACTGAAGATTACGAAACCGAAAGAAACATCTTAAAGCACATCACAACATCCAACGGATACAGTCCTGTTATGATTGATAATTTAATTAAAAAACACCGCAAGAAATTGAACAATCCTCCCACTCGTAATTCCACAAAATAAACGTGAGTTTGTTTCAGCAGAATTTGGCGAACAATTGCCTCTAACAATAAAAAATGAGATGAAAAAACATGGAAAAATAGTATCCTTTAGAACCTCTAACAAATTAGATAAGCTTATAAACACGAAAGGATCAGGTGGTGATGTTAACAAGAGAACCGGAGTATATAAATTATCCTGTAGCGACTGCAGTAAATTTTACATAGGCCAAACAGGGCGGTCCTTCGAGAAAAGATTCAAAGAACACATTCCAAAAGCCTTTTTCTCACAGCTTATAGACCGTTGCAAGCACTAATCTTCCCGACTTAAACGTTCTGCCGATTCTGTCTTTTTACATTGAACTGTTCCTCTACTCAGTTGAACTAGTCACTACTAACTAGTAGGCCTAATCACTGACAGATGGTTGATTGTTTCCAGTGTGGGGTTAATACAGTAAATTAAACCGCTTTATTCCATAAGAACAAAAGTGAATAAAAAATGTAATATTAATTGTTATTACTTGGAATCATGATATTTTTATGTTTATTTCTTAACCACTTTGAACTACAGATACATTTCTGATGGTAATACAAAAATGTGTATTTTTTCTAAAAAATATTCCCATATGAGACTTGACAATACTTTTGTATTTATTGATTACTTACTACCTTACCTCCTTGGCCATTGAAACCTAAGGAGGTGTTTAGCCTCACCAACGATGTATGTCCACTGTTCTCTATTCTTGGCTGCCTCAGGTGTAGTGCCCAACATAGCCATATCCTTCAGAACCTAGCTCCCTCACTGCAGTCTCAGCCTGACGAGTGGTCTCTTGCCTTCTGGTTTATTCCGGTCCACACATTTTATCATCGATGAATTTTCTCTTCTCCACACATGACCTGCCCATCTCAGTCTCCAGCTTTTTATCCTTGCTCTTGCAACAACTAGTGATCTCTTAATTTATCTAACTTTCCTCATTCCAACCTTCTTTATCTTGAATTGGTTCATTTATTTTTGTCAGAATCCTATTTTCAAAAAATCATAAGTTTTTTAAATTGATTACACATTATTATTACGTATAAATTAAACTATAATTTTTGTATAAGAGGTTGGTTTATACAGCCAATCCAGCCAGAGGCTTGGTACCGTTGTGGCCGGTTATGAGGGGTTCCACTGTACTTGCTTTTTGGACTGCCATTAATATCCAACAAAATATTAGGCCATATCAACGGACAGGACTGTCTTCATCCTTATGTCTTTGACTTCCTCGACCACTCCTAGACTTTTGGATTTGCGTCAATTCAGCCATAGTTTATCATTAATTGAAATGTCACTCTTGTTACAGGATATGGGACTTCAAAGCTTCGTCGGAAGCGATAGAAACAATCCGACACCACTCTGAGTTTGTGTATGGGCTGGACTTTAACCAACATGTGCAGGGTCAGATAGCTGATTGTGGCTGGGACTCGTTGATCCACGTGTTTAGGCCAAGAAGTTTAGCAGGGCTGTTACACTGAGTAACTGTTCTAACCAAAATGTTACATCTTATGAATGTAGGCTACTTTTACTACAGTGTAAATTATTTTTAAAAGTACATTCCTTTTCGGCCAAAATCTGTGTAGTGACAGAGAGTAAGGTATTTAGCAGGTCTATAACATCTGAAGCTAGCGGAGATTATTTGATTAGATGATAGTGTTGGCTTGTCTCTTGCTGAAAACTTCTGGTACAGTGATCTTCTGTGTCCTGTACCAACGTTTTGAATTCCACCGGTATATTATATATTGGACAGTAACACAACCAAACTTACAATTATAAAAACTCCAACCAACCAAAATAAAGGGCGTGAGGCTGAATTAAACAATATATTTATTTTTATTAGCTAATAAATGATTTTAATTAAAAGGCTGTTTCAGTTCTATGAGGTAATAAGAGGTTTCTCAGTAGTATTTTTAGTTATTTATTAATCTTATAATCTAGCCTACAACAGGAAATCTATTTCCTAAAATAATCAACAATTGTTTTCTGAACTGATCTTTTTCTTGGTATGAGATCTATGTCGTCTACTCCATTTTACATTCTGTTTTAATATAGTGTATTAATTATTTCAATTAAATCATTCGAATTTGTAAGAAAAGTATAATAACGTGTAACAAAGTTACAAATAATTTATAAATAAAACTTTTTTTAAAATAAAACGTTTTTAAACGCACTAAAAAGAATTCAATAATTTATAAATATGTGGAGAGTATAAATACTTTTAAGATTTAAAACGAAAAACGTGGGGTGCATGCAATACATAATTTACAACTACCTTCACCTATTGAACTAATGTATTATTATCAGTTGCATGCACCCCACGTTTTTCGTTTTAAATCTTAAAAGTATTTATACTCTCCACGTAATTATAAATTATTTTATTCTTTTTAGTGCATTTAAAAACGTTTTGTTTTACAAAAAGTTTTATTTATAAATTATTTTCTACTTTTTAGTTTTTAATTTGTGTGGGTGTTAAATCTATTTCAAGCATCTATATCAGATTAACACAGATGCATGTGAGAAATCTAAGGCCTATTTGAGTTTCTTTTCATATAATTATGTATTACATTGAATGTATGGCCTACCTACTAACTATAAATATATCAATCTATTTAATTTTTGTTTGTACGTTATAGAATACTAAATAAATAACATTTGACATTATTAACAAACGCCATTATATATGTAATCAGATTGTTTATCTTTATTTTGAAATGTTTGTTTGTATAAAGAATCGCTTGGGAGCATACCTCTTAACCTCTGGTCTTCGAACTGTCAAATTTAAGTATTTACAGCTGACTTAAATTAATTGATATATTTACATTCTTTCAAAATGTAAACATGAAAAATTTGGAAGCCCATGGGGCGTAGCCCAAGGGAAATATGAAAATTAAATGATATAATATTGCATTGTCATCCATTTGTGAGCTATGTTTCAAATTTCAAGTCTCTAGCTCACCAGAAACTTCGTTTGAAATTGATATCAAAATTTGTAGGAAAGCGAGCTAATAAAAACAAGCCCGTGGGGCGTAGCCCAAGGGAAATATGAAAATCAAATGATATAATATTGCATTGTCATCCATTTGTGAGCTAAGTTTCAAGTTTCAAGTCTCTAGCTCATCGGGAAGTATCAAAATTTGCAAGAAAGCGAGTTAATAAAAACAAGCCCATGGGGCGTAGCCCAAGGGAAATATGAAAATCAAATTATATAATACTGCATTGTCTTCCATTTGTGAGCTATGTTTCAAGTTTCAAGTCTCTAGCTCATCGGGAAGTTAGTATAAAATTGATTGAAAAATTTGTACCGGATAAGAAAGCGAGCTAATAAAAACATTTAAAAAAATGAACATCAAAATATCAACATTTGAAAGTAAAAAGTGGCCTAGTCAGGCTAACTACTCGCACTGTGACACACAATTAATTATTCCCATAATTCTGTGTGTGCCCACCAAAAACAGTTTTTTAAAATTTTGAATTTTCTTTTGTAAGACATTTTATAAACATAATGAAAGTAGGAAGAACTTACTGAATGAATAATCATTCAAATTCAAAGGGTGAAATATGAGAATTATTTATGAGTCAAAATGTTAATTAATTATTTGCCTATGCCTGTATATGACCTACTTTTACATCAGGAACTCGAAAGAAGCACATATAATTGAAACATTGAACAAATTATATTGTAATGAAGAGTGTATATAGTTTTTAGTATTTATAATTACTTGTAATGTTCAGTTACTGTAATGCAGATTGTGTACAATTTAATGATCTTTTGGCCCATTGTATTAACTGGTTGCCATACAAGTATTTGAGCTATTGTAAATAATTCTGTAAAATTGTAAATAAACCAACTTCATTTGAAGAGCCTGGGTACTTTTGTGCACATAAACTTGTATTAAGTTAGTATTTTTATATTTTTCTTAAATATTAAAACTTATCTTTAACTATATTTAACTTCGTTTGGTTGGCCTATTTGATATAGCAGTATGTACATTTTTTTATTATTTAATTTTTATAAAGTAACAAAAACTGTTAAAATAATATTGGTAAAAAGTTCATTGTATAGTTATAATAGTTTAAGCAACGTTAAGATAGCTTTAACGACAAAAATATTATTTACACGAGCTGCGTACACTACTTTACCTACGGCAGTGTTTTAATTACTAACAATCATAGCTGTTATTGGTATAACTCATAGCTTCTAAGAGAGGTTAAGTTTGCGTTTATAACCCCTCATTGCCACTGACTGAAGCAGCAAATCATTGTACGAAACACTAATTTAATTGCACCTTTCATTAACCATTATATTGGCCTGAACAGCTGATTAGTTGAAGTTCAAAGCATTACAATTTTACTTCTTCTCTCTCAACCCTTGAATTTCATTGGTCTGTTACCCATGTTGTTAAATAAAAAAAATGCTGTTAAGTGAATCTTCTCAATTCTAAGAACTGTTGTTCAAAGATTTATTGCGGACATTTTCCATCACGATGGTAAAAAACAAACAAACACAAAGGTTTGTTTTTTACCATCGTGATGGAAAATGTCTGCAATAAACCTTTCAACAACATTAACTCACCATCACCAACAATGAACTTCAAACAAAGAATCTAAGAACTGAACTGAAACGGCTAGTTTAAAACCGGTCTAATTATTAACACTTTGCTAGAAAATAACATATGTATTGCACTCTTAATTAATTATCATAGATTTATTGTTAAAATTTTAACACTTGTTTGTAAAAACACTTAACTTCCATTTATTTAAATCTAATGTTTTCTACTAAAAAAAATTATACTAAGAATTTCAATGTTTAAATGATTAAATTGTGTTACCGCTTTTGTGGTACATAGGGTTAATTTGTATGTTAGATGTTGTAATAATTTATTTTAAATATTTTTATATAAAAAGTGAAAATGATTGTGTTTTTCCAAGTTAATGTTGGGTGGTTTTTTAATGCCCAAGCCACAAAATAGTTAATTTTTTATATTTTGTATTTTTAAATGATTCCTAAGTACGGAATGCTTATTTATTTTAATTGTTACCACTTGTTAGACAAGTTATTTAGTGATTCAAAGTCTAACTATTCATGAAGCTAAAGCTCTGTTTTGCTTAAAAAAATACTAAGTGTTATTGTAAAATGTGCGTTTTTATTGTTAGATGTTAAAGTATGTTTACTGTGATTATGTTTTTATTTGTCATTTTTGCAATATTTTTTTGTAATATAAAATCAAATAATATCCTCTATATAATTGAAATTATTACCTCCCGATTTGTAGCTTTTACCTCAGGACAAAGAAGCAAAAAGGAATCCTCATGTTCAATGGTTTTCTTAGAGAAGGGATTTTGTGTTATATTTTCAATCTGTTATGAAATTTCACAAGCTTTTGTGCTTACTTCTGTTAAGGCCTACATCTAGATTTGAATGATTTCTAGTATCATATTGATTCCTTTGATCTACTTAAGAGACATTTAATACAAATTTGTAACTCTGAGGATCTGAAATTCCTTTAACAGCTTACAGTGTCCCAAAAGACCTACATACGCTTGAATCCTGGGAGCTTTTTTTGTTAGGACTCTTTTCATAGACGGTGGATGGCCCTGTTTTGAAAATGGTCCCTACCAATAGAGAACAGTGAGAAAGTGTTTTTTGGGGGGTGTCTATGCGAACTTGTCATTAAGGTTCTAAAGTTTCAAAGTTGGACTTAGAAGTCTTTCTTACTTGCGAATAAACTTGTTCCAAAAAGTCAGATGTGTATGTAGAGATTCAGTGTAAACAATTTTCATTATTTTAAATATTCTTAACAGTTTGTCTATTAGCTAACTGTCACACTCCTGAAGACTCTTGTGTGACCTGTGGTAGTGAATTTGTTAACGTAAAGCATTGTTTTAACAGCCTAAGCTGCACAACAGTCAAAAAGAACAAAACCATTAAACTAGGTTTACTTAACACCGTTGAAAGGAAAGGAAAATAAACACACAGTTTAATTTACAATGCAATGGTTTATACTTGTTTACAAAAAACACAACAGTTCATGAGGTCGAGGCAACATATAACAACAGTGGATATCAAATTGCGTACAAACGCACGGATACACTACACAGAATGTGATAGGCTCCGGGGCGAGAATATATACAGAGTGGCTGAGAAGTATTCTCCACAAATGATAAGCTTCATTATTACGTGGTGTCTATAGTTAACTTCTCTATCGAGTTGTGGTCAGTTACAGTTAAACTGTATGACTATTTTTGGTTGTATGTATGAGTAGGCTAATTAAAAGCTTGTCTTCATTGTCTGGGTAACGTAAAGTGCTGAATCCATACATATATTTTTATGTTATGTAGGGTTCATGAAGTAAATAAAGCCAAGAAATCGAAATATTGAATGAAAAACACAAATTTTACATATCACATTATTTAACACTTATTAAAGGATTAATATTCAAAATTAGAACATAATCAGATTTTCACCCCTTTTCAAGTAATTTTACACATTGAGTCAATATTTTTTTTATTTGATCTTAAAAAAGAAGCTCTTTAGTATTAGTAAACAGTGTATAAAATACAAAAAACAACAAGTCAATAACAACATCACACAAACATTTCTGACAAAAATATTGTCACAGCAATCAAAACTAATAAATACATTCAACTAAACACTGATATCAAACACATACTCTAATCTAACACACTAACAGAAACCATGAAACACACCAGAAACATGAACCAGCCACCTAGCTGCTAACATTAGAAAACACATAAATTCTGTAGGCCAAAACATAAACTAGAGTACAGTAGCACCGATACTTTACGTTGTTTTTATCCATATATTTTCACCCTAATGTAGGTCACAGATCTATTACACATCTACGTTCATATGTCCTGATGAAGCACACATAGTTGGGAAGAAATCAGGTGAATTTGAGGAAATAAAACAGAGCCTCGCTAAGTATCGCTAAACTATCTGATATATAAACAGTCTCAATAGCTGGTTAAGGCCTTTGTACAGTAGTTTGTAGCATTTTAATTATATTGGAACATCAGAATCTCCCATGTTTACACCATTTGTTAAACTTGTTATAAAATGCAAGTTTCATTTTAAAGGCAATTAAATCATATGCTTCAAGTGTATGAAAAAGAATATTTTGAATAGGTAATCTACTGAGATTTTGACATTCTATTCCCACGTTAAACTTGTAGCCAGTTTTGGAGTTAAAGAGAACTTACAGTAGTAGAACCCCTCATATCAAACATCCGATCTACATAGTGAAAATTTTGGGAACACCGGAAATCATGATTGAATTTTTGTACTTTGAAAAAAGAGATTTTTTTAATTTTGCTGAAAAACTCTGATTTTAGTCTGCAGTCAAATCGTGAATGTTTCCTGCAGCCACAGTCAAATGGAGAACATCTTCTGTGGTTACAGCAAAACTGTGATAATGTTCCCAAAATCAAGAACATCTGCCAGGCTTAACACGTTTGCTCCGACGTGGCTACCAGTGGCGCACGAATGAAATTTCAGTCAAAAGTAAATTTGTGTACAAATTACCATTGACTTAAAAAAAAACAAAAGTGTGTTTATGGGAATTATTAGATATAATTAATTATTTATTAACTGTACACTACTTACTTGTACTGTTTCAGTAACAAAATAAGATAATTATTTTGGTTATTAAACTGTGTTCGATTTGTCATAATTTCATCATGTTGAAAACAAGTACATTCTATGAATTTAAAATGAAAAACATACTTTGAGCAGTAAAAAATTACTTTTTAATCTTAAAAATGTTTTTATTGCTGAAATAATTAATAACACATTTTTTGTAGCTTGTTAATATTATTAATGTAAACTGAATTTGGTTCATGTACCACCCGTGGATACGTTTCATATGGCTTCTACATACACAAATACCTAGTAAAAACACTCACAAAGACTCCGAAATGTCATTTTGTTGCGTACAACCCCCATAGTAACGGTGTCCACCGGTGGCGCATGTCAGAGTTTTGGGGTTCACCGCATGGTGGTACATGTTTTTATAAGCTTAATGAATCGGTAAAAAATATTGAAGCAAACGTGTTAAGGCAAATTTGTGAACATCCTCCGCAAACATAAATATTAAGGTCTTCCAAAATAATAAAATTGTCTATTTTCAATCATGGATCTTCGTTAATGCTTCCCGCAATCACTAAAATAATATTTTCGAATTGACTTGACTCGATCTTGACGGGATTGGGTAGTAGTATTAATTGTTATTAGTATTGATTTGTTTAGGGAAATAAATAAACTTTTCTTACTTGCAAAATCATAATTTTAATTTGCTCCCTGCAAAATCCAATCTTTTGTTCATTCCGACCTCAGCTCCGTCCAGTCATGGTCGAATATGAAGGGTTCTACTGTAGTTGGGGGGAGCCACTAACAGTAACAGTGTTGTTAAAATGCAGTTTTTGCAAGTCACTTCTCTCTAACATAGTACAAAAAGTGAGAGAAATTATTATATAACTTATATAGTATTTGTAGCATTTCCATGAGAGGCACATTTAACTACAGTATGTTATCTCCGAGTAATCTGGCTACAGCTGGTGTATGTAGATTAAATTATACTTCAGTATCCAAAGTAAGGATGGAAGTCTGGTTGTTTAATATAGTATTACCAATAAACAATTTTGGAGCCTTGAGTTAAAAAAGTGAAAACTTGCTGAAAAAATAATCAAGACCCAGACAGTAAAATATTCATTAATTCTGGTTAAAAAAATAAATTCAACGCTATAAATTTTCCTAGCATGGAAGCATTATTAGGCCCATTGTTTGGCTTAGTTATTTTTTGCTCGAGTACATACACTATTAATTTATAAACTATTATTTTTTATAGTCCCTTCTATATCCACAATGGATGAAAGTGTGGTGGTTTTGACTTTTGACAATTTGATCTCCATTGTGTCAATAAAAAGTAGTGAAAAAATCAATAGGGAAACATCCATTTGTTTTTAGGCTGCATTAAAAGTTGGGCTAAGAAAATAGACAGTTATATAGGATTCGATGAACATTGTCGATGTGTTTATATTTCCAAAGGTATTGGACAGGTTTATTTGAAGCTGACAGTCCAAGACTAAATTTTATAAACGAATTTGATAAAAACATGCTATAAACTGAATTCTGAATATTTCTTCTACTTACAGTTTGTTTCATGTATCAAAATTTATATTGATCACAAATTGAAATATAAGAACCATCGGAAGTAGATTTTTGATGGTTGACTATTGTTCATTATCTTGAATGATCACATAAATTAGATCTAGATAACAAGTTTTCTCACAATATGCTGATGAGGATAAAGGAAATTTTAACATTGGAAAATTGAAGGTTGATTCAATTGTGGGAGGGGGCTTCATTCATATTTATGTTGAAGGAGGACACAAAAAAGAAGGTGGTGTGTACAGCATTGAAAACTTATCTTAGCATTAATTAAGGTACATTAAACATTCTAAATCAGTCAATAAATGTTACACATAGTTTTCTCTATGTAAAATTCCCATTATATTTACTACTTTTGGCTAAAAGATGTTATCTTTAAAACCTAAAAACCACGAGAGCTAGGAAGGGTTTTCAAATTCCAAACTTTTTAAGTATGTGCCAATTTATTTGGTTTTTTAGGCAGCTCAACGTTGGATAAAAAAACACCAATTTCAAAACAAACCTCCTAAAACCAGCGTAAGATTTTACTCAATTTATTGTGATACAGTTTGTCTAATATATTTAGAAAGGAATGTCTTCACCACATTTTGAAAACGGCTTACAGTGTTATCAACGTTTGTGTTTGATAAATAAGTACGCTTTAGGAGGTTATAAAATTAATTTTAAGATTGTCCTGGGCTTGAATCCCACCATGAGAGGCATGCCAATAGCCTCACTTTAATAGGAAGTACATTGATGATGAAACCTTCACTGTGATGAATATTCAAATGATTGTCTTACATTTTCTGTTATTTAGATCTATTACAATTTTCTTGCTGTGACTTGATTTCTTACAACTGGTCAGCTGCTACTAAAATACAGCATAGCTAAAAAGTATACACAAAGAAATGAATTATTCAGTATAAACATTTGATTTAAAAATAAAAAAAATCAATACTCAATATATATAAATTTAAATAAATATATTAGTTTAGAGTGATGTTTATTAGACACAACAAAAAAGTGTTATTGATTTGATAGAAAAAAATATCTGGAACCATTTAAATTCAAAATGTTTCTTCCTTTTTAAATCCTCCCTCCAAATATCTTGAGCAATATTACCTTTGGACCAATAACAGTTAAGTTTAATTTAGTTAAACTTTTAAACTTTTAACTTACACTTATACATACATTTAGTTATGGTTTTTAATTCCTTTTAATTTTATTATTCATGTAATAAACTATTTTAAATTACTATCTAATTAACATTTAATTGGTCATCTTAGTTCAAACAGGTTTCATATAAAGTTGTTTTATTCATGTTCATAGAATATATACATATTCTAATTTGAGTAAACTTTTCACGGGTTCCCGAGCTGCAACCTAAATCTATTTATTTAATCAATCATGATTGTTAGCAGAATTTAAGATTTTAAATTTCTAAAACTGTTTTTGCTAACTCACAATATTTTTTTAGTTTAAAATATTTTGACAGTTCAAAATCTGAACATCAACACTGTTGGACTAGGCTACTTAAAAATTCTTTATCATTTAATGTTGTTTATACATCATAATTTGGTTGCACAAATTTTACCCTAATGCCAAGACATTTTTGTCAATTTTGGATACTTCATATCACATTTGATTAATATTGAAAATAAAAATATAACTCGCACCGTTTACAACACAGTTTTTAAAAATGATTTTTTTTTTGCTTAACAAAATGCAGCTTGCATCATATTTAACCAAACTATAGTGTATATATTTCTATACTTGTTGGTTAACCAATGAATTACTTCACATTTAAAATGTGAAGAACTGTAATGAGCTAGTTAGTTATTTTAAGGTTGTCTGAACTTAAATGTTTTCATACCTGCTTTTGTAATATTACCTTTTAAAATTATAAAATTTAAACTGCTAGTCTAATTGTTATTAAATTTATGCATTTATATCCCTTTCTTATAACAAAACTTAACCAGTCTATACTCTAGTCAGTAGCTTTATACAGAATACAAAAGTTGAACATTAAGTTGTACACTATGGGTTACTTTACATTTGAACATAAGGCAAGGTGTCATTGGCAATGTACAGAAGGCAGTTCTTTAGACGAAGCAACACTTTATCACTAAGATCCGGGGGGAAAGTGGAAGAGGGGGATAGTTTCGGGTGCATCTGCCTTCTTATCCCGAAATGACGTCCCCCTCTTCCTCCTCCCGGAAAGCTGTCGTCAGACCTTGCTCTCATCGAATTTGACCTGAAAAAGGACAGTTTTCAAGAGTTATTAAAATTCTTTGATATGAATCTGTTAATATGATGCAGAGATTCTATGGTACAAATTTTAGGGCAAAGATGAGTGAAGGATTGGAAATGAAATTCGGTACTGGAGACTGACTAATAAGTTGGTGCGTAGGTGTGTGTGTGCGTTTGATGTATATATGTGTATATGATGAGTTCTGGATATCACTTAGACAAAACTATCATAAACACATCACCAATAAATTACTCATGAATGTAAATAATAACTCAATAGCAACTTCTCTTAAAGATTTTGCACTCATTGTCCTACTCTACTTTGAAAATATCTTTACTACATTAATTACACAAATTAAGCAAAGACGCAAAAAATTCTCACCTCACGTGGTCTGCGGGCAGGTCTGGAGGCCGCTGGGGGTGGTGGCAGTACTGGTACTATGACGGGGACAGGGATAAGAGCTACGGGGCTAGCGGGGGCACCAGCAGCAGCAGGGTTAGGGGGTGGACCCACGAAGGGTGACGTAGCGGGGAAGTGGTTAGCTACTATGGGGATCCAACATTGCTGTTGCCCCCCTCTCATTGGAGACAGACCTGGAAATGCAAATAATGGTTAGGAACTGAAAATGAAAGTAATCTATGTTACATTACAGCATTTTATAGAATATAAAAACCGTGAAAAAGAAGGATTAATTTTACTGTCTGATTAGCTAGGGGAGCGAGCTGGTCTAGCGGTTAGATTGCGGGACATTAGGCCCTGAGGTCACGGGTTCAAATCAAGGAAAATCGCCAATCGATTTTATCTAAGTGATCATTTCGTAATGTAAAAAACAATCCCTGTCCTAGAACAAAAAAATCTGATATAGCTGAGTGATTGTAGTACTTGACTTCAAATCTAAGGGTCAATTGTTTTCAATTTGCATTTACCCACAAGACTAAATTTAATTTAATATGAATGATGGATGATTGTGGTGTGTGCAAGATGCCTTCTGTAGAGTATTGTTACAGACTAAGATCAATATTGTTACTTTCCATGACTGAAAGCCATTTTATCAAGGACAGCTAGAAACTAATCCCTTACCAACTTTTATAGGTGTGGTAGAAGTTAATGCATGATTCCCAAAGAGTTGTCAAACATTATATTTACAACTAGCTGGCCCGACATACGTCGTCCTGTCCTAATGTGGTTTTATGTCAAATGCTCGTTCATTTTCAAGATGAGCTCGTTCGCATGGCTAAATCATGTCCTGGTTGAGCGTTTGGGTTGGAGCTCGTTCCCTGCGCTCACTCACCTTTTGGTTGCAAATTAGCTGTTGTCATAAATTAAAAAATAATAGTGCTGCACCCTGTTGGTAAACCATAACTTTTTAATGCTATTGAACATCACAGAATCAAATTGTTTAGTTGAACCAACTGTTAAGATTCTTTAATTCCATTTAAATATGAGTACTCATAAGGTTAACATGGGAAACTCCAGAGTCACTGGGGCGGAGCCCTTTTGACGGATCTGCACCAAACTTCACACAAACCATCCTTTAAAAATGCCTGAAAGTTTTATTACAATCTATCAAGCGGTTTTGGAGTCCATAAAGGACAAATAAACAAACATACATTGGATTTTATATATAGAAGAAGATAACAAATTAATGTTATATTTAAAGTTATCTTAAAATAAAACTGCACTGAAACATTTATTTATAAAACTCGTTAAAAGCAACGACAGTAGAGTGGCTTAAACAAATAATTAACGCTTCTTTAATTGACTTATCAAACAATCTGAAATGTATCAGAGAAATCCATCCCCTCTCCAGCTCACTGGAAAGCTATTAATCTTTTAATCAACACTAATTAACTTGGCTTGAGTAATATCAAATTAAATTCTTGTTTAGAGAGAACGCTTTAAGTTAATAAAAGTTTAATGTAAATTTATTGAAGGTAACTGATCAATTGTTTGGTTAGGTAACAAATGTTTAATTAAACTCTAAATCGGAATTCTTCTTTGTCACAATGTTTCAATTCAAAACCGTGCTTTTTATATAAGGAAAAATACTTGTTCAATGATATCAACTTGCTTAGTACCTACCTTTATTCTTGAAAGGGGCGAACATTTAAATCAATTTAATTGAAATTCTTAAAAAAATATGGTATTGTAAATTGAGATACTGGAATTGAACCCACTGCCATTTCATATTTTACTAAGCGGGACAGGACAACAAGAAATAAATTATAAGTTCCAAGAAATGTATGTAATATATATTTTTTAACACAAAATGATTCTAGTTATTTTTGATATGATTGGAAATATTTATTGTTGTATCATTACAAAATACAGGTAACATTTTTCAGTGTAGAGCTGCTAATAAATAATACCCCCGCCGCAGCAAACCTGCCGTCTAAGCGAATTTCCATTTGGCTGAATTGATTTTCAATCGAGCTATTTAAATAACATTAGGTTTAACAAGTACCTAGGTTTGCTGCTACAAGGAAACTGATAAAGTTTGTGTTTTAAGTAAAATAATTATTGCTTAGTAGAAAATGAATATATTTGCCAAGTTTGAACAAAAGATATCCATAAACAAGCAAACTACAACATTTTACAATATTCTCCATAAGAATAACATGGGAATTTTAAATTTACAATTTTTTTAGTTTTCTCCGTAACCAATAACCGTACAAAAACACTTTGATATACTGAATTGTTTGTTTTTTTAAGCTCTTTAAGAAGGTTTAGAGAAAAATTGGGAAATTTTGTGTTTTGAGGGTCAAAAGTGAGAAAAACCAATTTTTGCCTCATAAAACCCCCCATAAAACCCTGTTCCCATGGTCCGATCATGCTGGATCGCGAACTCATTCAAGTTTATCCCGCCTTACACCTTCAAACCAAATTTCATCAAAATCGGATAAAAATTACTCAAGTTATCGTGTTCACGGACAAATATATATATAAATCTATATATATATATATATACATATATAAAAATTTGAACGAATGGTGTTTTTGGCCTCTGGGGACATCAAAATGAAAAAGTAAATCGGTCCCGGGCCTAAGTCTTACCATGAGACCTACGGTAATAGCTACTTCCCTATAGGGAAATTCGCTAAAAGTAATGTATTGGTCAAGCTATATCAGATACTATATAATCATTAGCTTAGTGTCAACATTTCTTTTAATCAATTATAAATATGTAAAAAAATGCCTAGTATTTATTATGTTCTGTATAAGTATTACAGTATCTACTAATAATGCCTATATTATGACGTGTTATCAACTTTAGAGAACGGAATCATCTCAGGGTTTTATCCCTGTAAAAAATGTACAGAATGAATTGGTTTGCAATTAACTAAACACATTGGACAATTAATTACTGTGTACCACAATTTGCAGAAATCAAATACAAATGAATTACTGAAGGTTTATTTTTATCAGGTTATCAGGTGAGAGTCAAATTTCATTGCCCTCTCCCCTCAGCCAGGGGCGAGCCAGGCCTCGTGGTGTGGCTTGAACTTGGCAAAAACGCAGGTAGGGTTAGGGTACGTCGGTTAGAAGCTTAAGGCTTTTCTGTGTTCTCTAAACAAAAAGAAAGTAGGCTATCAAAGTGGAGACCATTTAAAGTTTGGCATTCATGGGGGTAAACAATTTTCCCAATATACAAGGATGGTTTCATGTAGGTTAAAATCACGTCGTTTTTCCTTGGGCTCTCTTTAAGACATGCACCCTGACCGTATTACGCACCCATTTGCCCAGGGCTTGGCAAAACGTGAGCATCTACTGGGTCCCACAACAGTTAATTGCCCAGGGCCCTGCAAAGCATGAGTAGCTACTGGGTCCCATCACAATATTTGCCTAGTGCCCCGAAAAGCCTGGATCTACTACTGCCCTCAGCTATGATTTCATTCATCTTTCATTTCCCTCATCCTATGGTTACCTAAAACCTCATTTCCCTCAGCCGGAGTCCTAGGTTTCTTGGATTTAAGTTTCCTCAGACCTCAGCTCCCTTGACAATCAGCTCTTCTAGTATTAATTTTCCTCCTTGCATTCAGTACCCCTAAACCTAATTTCTCTCAGCCTTGATTTCCTTCATTTTACACCTTGCCCTCAGTCTCCCAAACCTCAGATTTCTCTCTGGTATTACTTACTCTCAGACATGCCGAGGGAGTTTCTCCTGTTGTTCTGTCCCTGTCTCCACACGTGGGAGCGGACGTGCCCCTTGGTGCCTGTGCTGACTGCGTCCACGCTGAGTGACCGAGTCATCACGTATCTCCAGTGGTCGGCCTTCGGCACTTTGTTGATCATGTTGAGCTGCAATGCTGAGCCTAACTGCTCGTTCAATGAGTACAACTTCTGCGTTATATCTTTACCTAGACAAAAAAGATACAAGTTCTTTAAAACCGTTCTAAAGATTATTTCCTGAAAATGCTATAATTTAAATCTTATTTAAAGCATTTCCCTTTCAGCACAATTAGAGTTTAACCAATTTAAGTAAAATAAGTTATTAGCTAAAATAAGTTTTTTAAAGAGATAATTTCTATGATATTTTATATTTTGTTTATGTTAAAAGTATGCAATTAGAAAAACTAAATTGTTCGAATAAAAAAATAATATAAATGATTATTGTCCGTGTTTATAGAACTGATAGTTCCTTTAAATCCTAGATGCAATACTAATAAAGCATTTATATTGCATATATTAATTTTAGGGCTAAAGTTATATTTAATACTAGCAGAGTATCGGTCCTTTGAACGGGGTTGGCATATAAGTATAAAATGCTTATTGCAGTTATGGAATATGACACGGTTTAAGAAAATTTGGTTCTTTTAATTTATACGGTTTGCTATAGTATAGCACATCTACCACAGCCATAATGTTCTAACACACACTGCACCTAAACTATAGAAAAGGTAAATTTATCATAACGTACTACAGCTTTTTGTCGCTAGTTGGTTCAAATTAGCTGTCATAAATGCAAAAAATACTTGTGCTGCACCCTGCTGGTAAACCTTATAACTTTTTAATGCTATTTAATACCATAGAACCAACTTCTGCCATTGAAAGAGCTGATAAAATTCTTTAATTCCTTTTAAATATGAATGCTCATAGGGTTAACACGGAAAACTCCAGAGCCACTGGGGCGGAGCCCGAAAGAAATTTTGAGATAAGAATATGTCTATATGTTAATCGAGAATGTGAGCTATCATCATACCAAATTTCAACCTAGTCGGTTTAGTATTTTTCGTGTTTACTTGTCACAAACATCTATCCATCCGTCCATCCATCGATCCATACATCCAAACTTTCTCACTCATAATATTAGTAGGATTTTATCGGGTTACACCGATAAAAACTTTTTTATTTTATCCCACCCTAAAAGAAGTACAATTTCAATTTGATTCAGAGCTGTAAAAAAAGTGAAAAGTAGTTTATTCAGAGTATTGACGTGTAGTAGAAAGAAAAATCTTAAAGATAAATGCTACAAAATTATGTCTTTTAAATTTATGTTAAACTACAAAATCTCTTTTCCTGATAAAGTAATACAGTCAGGACAACACATAAAAAGTATTACCCATTCATTTACTTTAATTTTTTTTACGAATATTAAAACAGTATCTTAAAATCTTTGATCAAAATGTTAACAATTATGTTCTTCATAAGGATAACATGGGAACTTTCACAGCCACCTGGGCAGAGCTCAAGGGACATTTTCAAAAATATAAGGCCAGTTTGCAAATCTACGCGACACGCTATTTCCAATGAGACTTCAATGGATAAAATCTGTTAAGAAATGGGTGAGGAGTTCAACCGACAAACTTCATGTTCGCGCATTTTTATATAGAATAATACTTTTAGTTGATTGGCGCAAATATTTGATCTAAATAGAATTGTTCACACAGTCCTTATAATAGCTCCGTAATGTAACATAATTGAAACACATCTTATAATATAACGAAACAGAAAGTCATATCTGAAATTACAAAAATAGGATTTTTTAATCAATATAAAATATTGAGGAACAAGAGATCATGAAAGACCTACTTACCTATTAGGTTGGAGAGTATAGTCCTTAGCATTGGTCGATGCCTAAGGACGCGGGCCATTTTTATCTTAGGCCAACACAGGTATAGGCTGTCCTCTTCAGCTGATATCGTGACCTGGAATTTGTTTAAAATTGGTTGGAGTTTATTTTATAATACTCTGAAAGTCTATTAAGTCTCAATTGTTCTTGTGAGGTATATTTTATGGAAGAACCTTATACAGATGTATGTACAGTTGAGGGGAATATTAGATTGCATGAGAATCTGTGTTTACCCAATGTAGATATTCTTTGATATTGTTACATTTTTAAGCTCTGAATTGAGTAACAGTGTAGTAATCATATTTCATATGTACCTTTTGATATCTTAAGTAACTAATACAGCAAGGCTTTGTGCATTATAAATGCGTTTTTTTCTCAGAATCAAAGAAATCAGAAAAAATAATGCACAAACTATGTATGCAAAGATTTTTATTTTATATGAACTTAAAGTATAATTGTTTTTATGCATTGTTAGTAATTTTCAAACATGGAATGTTGTTTGTTTTTGGGAAAGGTGTCGAACAGGAGCTTATTTTATCAAGATATTATTGGTCACAGATTCCTTGATACGGAAATAAGCTCGGGGCACAAAGGCAATAATGTGGTAAAATATTTAATATACCTGGAAGAGGTCATCACTAGTTTCATGGCCAGCTTCCCATTCCGGAGAGTCGATAAACTGGAAGGGGTGAATGTAATGAAGATGCATTCCTTCCACGGACACCTTCAGCCTATGTAAAGCAAACATGCACACGTGGTGAAGTTGGTTGTAAATGTTTTGGTTGCAAAAACAATTTAAATACTTTGAAAAAAAAAAAAAAACAATTTTACAACACTGCAGGGAGAAAATTTTATGAGTAGAGGTAGGTGATGATGAAACGAGAGTAGCATTATCTAAATAAAATATAGATCTTAAACGATGAGAAATAAAATTTTCTTTCTAACTACCCTAACAAAGATTCATAACCATTGAAGCTGATGTTAAAACAGCTATCAATACCTCACTTGATAATAGCTCAATTCTTATTCATAATGCAATGCCTGAACTACGTTCTTTGTCATCGTTACATAAATGAGAAACATGGTGTTCAGTATAATCTATGTTGTTCTTCAAGATCTCAGGATGGAACTCAAATAGGGAGGAAGAATTTCACCAAGAAGAATTTTGACCCCACTAATCACAAAGACTTTTGTGGATGCTTTCCTTCTTACTTTTTTTAGTTTTTTTGAGCTATGATACTGTCTTAGGAAGTTTTGTTGTAAAAATAACTAATTTATGATTTTGATACAGGAAATAGCTCTTCAGTACTCACTTGCCACGGAGAAGGATTGAAAGTCTCTCGTCTGCCGGGGTGGAGTCTTCCTTCGCGTAGTTCTCTCCTGTGTTTAGCTGCAGTAGAGACGCCTCTCTCGTCAGCTCCTTGAAATGATTTCTCGAAACCTGAAAAAATTGCAAGCAATGAGTTATCCTGCATGTGAAAATTCATTATTTCTGAATATTATTAATAAATGCTTTGGGTCACAAATGTGATTCTATGTTTTTTTAATGTTTTCCGCTTTTGCACGATTTGTTCATGAATCAAAATTTGCCGTTGGTCGTACTTTTCGGTGTGAGGATTTACAATAGACTTTATATCTGAAAATAGCAAAGGCTTAGGACTATTTTAATGTATCAAACTAATTGAGTTTAAAGAGTAATTTCCAGTGCTAAATCAGTTATTGTAGCTTTCCTCACAAATTGATAATGCTGCGTCCCACCAAATACACATTTCCCTTCCTTTTGTTCAGCTTAATATCACTCCTTAAAGATTTCGCTACTGTTTCATAGACATCCTTCGACTAAATTTTTACTATCTAACAATGAAATCCTGAACTCTTTATCGTCTTAGGAATACGACCTTTGACATCAACTTGCTGCAGGTTACCTTCAGTGGCTTGAACATCCGCACATACAGTTCTGTCAGCTCCACAGAGAGCGCTGGAGGCAAAAAGCGGCAAGTCAGGATCACAGCGTGTATCAGGTTGAGTCCAGCTAGCAACAGATTCCACGCGAACATGTCCGGTGTGCAGACGTGGATACCCGCCCATAGCGCTGACACTATGAAGCCCGCACACAACAGCGCTCTGTGGGGATAAACAATATGATCGAGCTGGGCAAGATGCTATTCAATTTCTTTACTCTATTTGAAGCTTAGTTCCAGTACTCTTACTTGTTTACGAAACACAAGTTCATTTTGCCCGGTAAATACTTTGTCTAAACATGCCAAAATTTGATATCACATATACGTCTGAAAATAATTGAACACCAAAGAATCTAATTCAACATTATCAATCTTGATAGTAATTTTCTGGAGCGTTTTCAAATATTTGCTAACTTCTATGAAGTCAAATAAACTGAATTAATTGTACAAACGATGCTTGATATCACTAAGACTTGAAATGAAATGAACAAACTTTAATGAAAAGAATATTATTGTTGCAAAACATCTACAACATTGACCTATGTCATGTAAAAAAGGAAAATTCACCTGAGGACAAGCACACTCTGCTTAAACTTTCTCGGCACCATAAAGGCAGCGGCGAAGAATATATTGGAGAGTTGGAAGAGGTTGTGCTGTGCGGGCTCCCACTCTCCACAAGACATCAATCCCCCATCGTCCGCTAGGGTGGTGTTGGTGCTAGTGTTGTTGTTAGCCAAAATCGTCAACATATCTTCCAAACTGAGCTCAGTTCGGTCTAAGTCTGTCCAGTTGGTCGTCGAGTTGTCCATGGTCAGTAAGGTCAAGGTCAGCGGAGGCACTCTACAATGCCAGATCTCCATCACCTCTATGAGCATCAGGCTGAGCCGAGATCACTGAAAACAAATCATCAGGCTGAACCAAAACCAAACAAAAACGAGTCATCAGGATTTGCAGGCTAAGAAGAAACCTCTGCAAGTTGAGTCACAATTACTGCAACATGTCATAAAGCTGACCAGAAGACTCTGCAATACAAAGAGTCATCTGGTTGAGCCGAGATCACTGTAACAAGAAAGAATCACCAAGCAGAGCCGATATCTCTGCAACACTGCAACAACAGTCATTAGGCTGAGCCGAGGTCACTGTAACAAGAAAGAATCACCAAGCAGAGCCGATATCTCTGCAACACTGCAACAACAGTCATTAGGCTGAGCCGAGGTCACTGTAACAAGAAAGAATCACCAAGCAGAGCCGATATCTCTGCAACACTGCAACAACAGTCATTAGGCTGAGCCGAGGTCACTGTAACAAGAAAGAATCACCAAGCAGAGCCGATATCTCTGCAACACTGCAACAACAGTCATTAGGCTGAGCCGAGGTCACTGTAACAAGAAAGAATCACCAAGCAGAGCCGATATCTCTGCAACACTGCAACAACAGTCATTAGGCTGAGCCGAGGTCACTGTAACAACAATTTCTGAGACAGAGCAAAATAATAGCCAAGTTAATAGCCTGATAAGATACCATTTGAACAAGAATTAAAGCTGACATTACGAAAAGAACTTATAAATGATCACAAGTAACAGTAGATCAATTCTGTGTAGTTTTAGTTTACATAAATTTTTTGAGTAGTCTGTTTCTAAAGGATGACATATAAACAAGCAAAAGTTCAGAACTTTTGACCTTTTTTAGGCATTAAAAGTGCGAAATATGCTCTTCATTAATCTTATAATTAAAACTTTATATATCAATATGCTTGAATTTTTTGATCAAAGATATTTGTATCTATTGTAAATATTAATGTTAAAAATAATATTTAATATTAATGTTATCATATCGGTAACATTATCGGTACTTTTTTGCATATTAAGAGATAATAAATAAATTCATTGTTACAGAACTCAGTAAAACTGTTTAAATGAATGTAAAATGTTAGCGGTAAGCAACGTCTATGGTCTCATTAGTATATTAATGAGATGGCGGGCTCATCCGTTTTAAGTTGCAAGAGTTCCCCAACAATCGGCCTTTCATGAGTACACCCCAAGGTAAGCAGTGGATCAGGTGAACAAAGCCATTGTGGCAACAAGAGTAATGAGTTGTTTTGTAGTGGGGTCTTAGCGGTGTTAAGGAAAAATAATATGTTATGGACAGTTTATTTATAGGTTCAGTGAAGATTTTTCTGCGCCTCTGAATATATCACTCCTTATTCTATAAGAATAACGGTTTTAAAGTTATTATTGTTAGCAAAATTTAAATGGCCGCCATTTTAAGTTTTTACATTGGAACATTTTGATTTTTTTAATGTTTGTGACACTAAGTATCAAGGTTATTTAGAAAAAAACAATGTTTGAAAAATACAAAATGACAGCTCTGTAAGTAACCATTGATTTAAAGGCGATTTAAATGTGATTGTTATTTGTTATGAACCCTGAAATAATACCTTAAAAGGTTGGTTTAGTTACGAAACACCCTGCATACTAAATAAACAATATAATTGAAGGGGATTCAGGATTAATAAATACAGTGGTTGGGCGTAGTTTAATAGAGGGTTTATTTTTCAACATTTTATACATAATTGAATTTTAGTATGGGGTTTTGATATAGAAAATATATTTTTTATCATGTTGTAGCTTCTGACTATTTGTCGATGTATGTTTTACGTTTAGTAAAATTAAATTAGTTCCACAGTTGTACACGAGTGCTTGGACACGATAACATACGTAATAGTATTCAACCAAACTATAAGGTAGTTGGGGAGTTCCTTTGTATAAAATATGTAACCTTAAAATATATGAGAACTGTTAATCCGATGCAGATAACAGTTTGCCAAATGTTGAGACTGGCTGTCCTCCAATGTCACCCCTTCTCTATTGTTTGTCACCCCTCTCAATCCTGAACATGGTAACTAAGGTTTATATGCGAAAATGTATTTACATGAATACTATCTTTGCCAGACTATTGGTTATGTTACTTTTAAAGGTACTTTGTAATTAATAAACATGCACAGCTCCATCTTGGTAGTATCAAATATATTGTGTGCTATCTTTTATAGATAATACACCCCTGTAAGATTCAGTCAACACAAGTCGTTATTTGTTTATTATTACACTGAGAACATGTGTATCTTAAGGAAATTTTACTACATACCTGAAACATACAGGATGCCAAGAGTTTTAGAAACCCATGTTGAAAAAAAAATGTTTCAAACATTGGGTAATTATTAAGAAATTACTGTTTTTCTTAGGTATAGCCTACACGCGCTGATATATATTTGCATAGTTGAAAGCCTATTGATCAATTTAGATAGAATCAGGCTACATTTGTGACTTACTGTGATAAGTCAATTGTTTAGTCTGGATGAATTATTTAGAAAAACTATCTGCAAACCGTCAAAAATGCTTCAAACCAGCAACCTTTGAATGAAGACGTAAGCAATTTTACCAAGCATTAACCGATGTTCATAAATAAGCAACACTTTACAGACTTTGGAGGCATTGAAAAGAGAAAAAAAAATACCATAGCTATGATTTGATTTAGTTTCGTTTATTTTATTTTAAAGGGTATGATCTGAACATTAGGAGAAAATCTAGTAAGATTGTATCCAAACTAATCGTATTTATGTCACAACCAACCTGCTGACCTTACAAATTCCCTGTTAACTGTAATTTTTCAAATAAATAAATTGAAGAAATGATAACCTAAAACTTTGTTCTAATTTGAATGATTATTTAGATTTTCTACTGATGCAAGGTCGATTAGTTTTAGCATTGATGGGCTATTGCAATAATAATCTAACTAGGCTGGATACTATCCAATCCAAGTAGCGTAATTACATTATAGAAGTTTGGTATTGATCACCTGCTGATGCCATTTAACTAAGTTTTTTCTCTTAATTTATACTTTTTAATTGCAAATTTATTTTTGTTGTCTAATTTCTATGTTCTGTTTAGTGATTGATTAGATTGATCAAACTTCTTATGCATGGACATCATCTTTATATAAATATGATAAGGATCACGAACTTTTGAGAAACCCGTAAGCCGTGCCTGTCAACTACATACTTATATGGAAGGGTGTTATCAGAAAGTTTCAAAAAAACCTCCTAAGGGCACGAACCTTAATTGACGAGCCGTATTTAATCAGATTAAACATGAATACGTGTCAAAGCAAGATCGTTTCAAGACCCAGGTGTCATTTCTCTTTAGGCTATTGATCAATGATGCTACTAACGAAATATCAACGTTAAACAGTAATACGGATAGGGTATGCCATTCCTTACAACAAGTTTAAAATTCCAAAGGTGTAAGATAAACATAAAATATAAAAACAAAACCATGAAATAACATGTCTAAAATCTTACTAAATTAACCTATAACAACAACAAAAACACTTGATGTAAGCATGGATATTCTTACTGAGTGTAATTAACGAAAGCTATAAACCATACAGGGTGATTGATATAAGTGTGCCAGCCGTTTTATTCGAAAGCCATAAGAGATATCAAAAAAAGTTAAATGGTAAGTGCCTTGGACTTTTTATTTAAAAAATTTTAGTAAAGTCGAAATAATTATTTTAGCCGCCATTTTTCCAATATGGCCGCCAACTTTGATTTTTCTTATTGAACACCCTGTATTTTATGATGTATTCTGGTAGAAAATGTAATTTTAAAACGATTTTATTCTTGTGATTATTTTCATAAACCTAACCGTTTCAAAGATAATAATGGTTAAAGTTTTGAAATTTCTGCATGAGAAAGAGTTTCGATAAAGGCCTAAGCAAGGCAAGCTAAACAAGAGGCCATCTGTTTTATTCGAAAACCATTCAAAATTTCACAACTTAAACAATTATTATCTTTGAAACGGTTAGGTTTATGAAAAAAATTACAAGAATAAAATCGTCTTAAAATTATATTTTCTACCAGAAAACATCATAAAATACAGGGTGTTCCATAAGAAAAATCAAAGTTGGCGGCCATATTGGAAAAATGGCGGCTAAAATAATTTTTTTGACTTGACTACAATTTTTTAAATAAAAAAGCCAAGGCACTTACCATTTAACTTTTTTTGATATCTCTTATAGTTTTCGAATAAAACGGCTGGCACACTTATATCAATCACCCTGTATAGCTTCCAAGGTTGACTTATTAAAGATAGGATTGGGAAATTAAACGTTTAGGACCTTGGGGTTTTCTAGTTTGGCAGAGCTCCTAATGGTGTACCACCGGAGCTTATTGCTGGCCTTATGCTACTTGGGATAGAATTAGGACAATCAGAAAAAAAATTTAATTTGTGTTTGGCTAAAAGTGTTTTGTTCAATTGTCTTTTGTCAAACTGTTATTTTAATCGTAGTTTAGGTCAAAGATTGTTTCAAAAGCTAATTTCAAACCCATACGGTATTCATACACGCCTTTGCAATATGTTAACTCGTCAATAAATACAATATAGTATGTATATTAAATTATGTAGAACTGTACATTAATAATCATTGTATTGTTGTACCATCTTACGGTACTTTTAGCAATTAAAACTATTTGATTTGCTACAAATTAGGGAATTAGTAGAGTATTTATGATAATGTAAATTATATAAGTTTTTAACATAAATTTATCTTCAAAATAAATTGTTTACAAATCCTAATGAGGAAATGTTTTCAACGTAATTAACTTAAAAGGTCGATCCCTCAAGAACAAGGCAAATGTATATGTGTTGTACCGAGCTTAACTGACCATGTCATAAACATAAAGTAACATTAACCCCGAATTGATGGTGACACATTCAGCGTGTAGTTTTAATGCAAACTATCATCATAAACAGTAGTTTTGGCTGTGTTGGGCACGGAAACCAACTGTGCATGAGCCAGGAAGATATTACTGAAGCTTGGCTTGCCAATATACAAG